GTTAGCAGAAGCTACAGCGCGTGCATTGCGAGCCTGGTGACGATTATCACGAGGAAGCGCCTGCTCTCTGTTCTCTTAGAGTTCTCTTAGAGGAATAACTCTGAGAAGCGGACACTCGGGCGGCGGTCACACTACATGTAGCATCAGTATGCACCGACCGAGCACCCGCGCTGCTTCCCCGAACAGGAATCAGCGATTTTGCTACATGGTTAATAGCAGGCGTATCGCAACGCACACCTCGAGAGGCGTTGATGGTTCGTGGTGCGACTGAGCGCACATCAGAACGAGCACTAGAGCTGCTAGGTGCAACCGCGAGTGCGGAGGGGTGTTGTACAGCGTCAGAAAAATGACAGTCCCGTCAGCAAAAGACGGGACAAGAGACACATCACGCGAAGCGAGTGTCGGTCCTATTGCGACTGAACGCACATCGGAAGTTCCTAGTGCGACTGAACGCCCATCGGAGGGTTGAAGAAGAGCTCCTATTGCGACTGAACGCACATCGGAGGGGTGGGTGGCTACTACAGCGGAACCAGCGGTCACCACCACATAATCACCAGAAACAGCAGTCTCAAAAGGAGACGGAGATGTTCCGGTGGGGGTATGAACGGCATCACCAGCAAAACCAACGGATACAGAGGGAGCAGCCGGTTTACGCGCACGCACACTGCTCGGGGCTATAGCCCCACGAGCACGCTCATCCTTTTGGAAATAGCGGACACGCCTGGCCTCAGCGCGAAGCTCAGACAGACGTGCGGCCTCTCCTTGAGGATCAGCGGCGCGAGCACCAACACCATCATGCGGTGCATACAGAGCGTGGTCGAAAAAGACAGAGGCGACTGCAGGATCAACATGTGATACAGCAGGCAGCGCCTCTGGCGAACCAGGCGGTGGGGGAGGAACCGACTTCAGAGAACTGGCAGGGCTGGCAGACTCTGAGTCCTCGTTGCCGTCCCTACAATGAGACATACCAAGAAAGGAAAGCAGGCGCAAGACCGCGCGGTAGAGATGTAGCCAGTGGAGCAAAAACGAGCTCTCACGCTAACAACACAGAGAAACCAAAGAGCCGAGGGAAGGCTAAAATCCTTTACTGCAGACACGCCAAATGTTGTGGGATTACACGCGTAGCGATCCATTCAAATCCCATAACAACAACCGGTGCTCGACAGTGGCGAAGAAACAAGAAAATTGAGCCTCGACCCCATTTTGAGGTTTCTTATCTCCGAGCGCGTTCTACACTGGGGTTATCTTTGCGGCTGGCCGAGAGACGTGGGCTCGTGGGGCCATACGAAGGAGATTGGAGCCATACAAAGGAGATTGCCTCTGGCCGTCCCAGACTTCATCGAGAGCCCTGCGTGCCCTCGTTGCCGAAAATGCAAGAAAGAAAGTTTCCGTGACTGTCACTCGGCCTTCAAAGTTACAAGTATGCATGCAAAATTCCACCCACCAGTTGTGGGTGCCCAACAATCAGCAATGCACCTCGAGCGAGTATCAACTCTAGACACCCAACAGCCAAAAGGAAACAAAAGAAAAAACATGGCGAAAACATTACGTGCGAAAATCAAACGCTTGCCAAACTTGAATACGACAGACATCAAATCATCACCTCTAAAACTATATCTATTCATCACACGCCCAACCAACTCGAGTGGTCGGACATGAAATCAAGCTTGCCATTACGTATTACAAGTCCCAAAACCAAGTTCACACAGCATAAATTGTCCGCAGAAGGTACGGCCTCTGTTCGCACTAATGTAGTAGCTCTACTGCTGAAACTGCGGGAAACGCCAAACCTACGTAGTAAGGAGGCAAGCCGACTCTAACGGGGATGACTGCTACTCATTCGGCAGGGGCAGCGCTATCGCCGGCGACAAAGCCGAATTCTTGAAGGCTCATGTTGCACACCGATGTGGTTCTCAGGAGTTGAGACACAGGCGCTGTTAGTGTGGTGTGTGGTTGGCAGGGGCTGGTGTGTGTGTGTTGTGTGGTTGTGATGGCAGTGTGGGGGGCGACAGGAGTAGGCGCGTAGGCGCCGCAGCGCCGCAGCGAAAAAAGGGGGGTAGACAGCTGGGAAACTGACCCCTTCCCCCGGTAAAAAGGGGGCCAAAATATCGAATATCGAATACCGATATCGATACCGATACCGATTCGTATCGACAAATATCGGCGTGGGGAACCGGCAATCAATACCGATACTACTGCGTATCGTCGGTAAATATCAGTTTTGTACCGATATTCGATACCCAATATCCAACACTGGTGTATAGACTTAAAAAGACTCGAAATAAGTCCAGTACCCAGCCGGTTTCCCTCCACTCACTGAAAACACTCCACCACATCCCGTTCGACTGCTGTGGATATAGTATTTCGAATGGGTAGTCTTCTGTGTGTGTTTTTATTATTCCTTAATTATAAACAACAGGTCACCGGATTAATTAATCATTTACATGTTTACATACAGCAATCTACAGTCACAACACCGCTCTTCAATGAAACTTTCAGGCACACGTCGCGGTTCTACTAAAAACAAGTATGAGATAAGGTCCTCTGACTAGAGACCTATCATCACATGGATGAGCTCCGTGGCTGGAGTGGGTGGATCCAGTTTGGCCATCTATTGATTACTCCGAAGGCTTGTGCTGGGCGGGGTATCAAATGGCTTCAATTACTCAAGCGTGTGCTAATAATTTTCACGATTTTTCCCTAAAAGTCTTGCCGCTGCTCCTCTTGCTCTCCCTCCCCAGCCCCTCTCGCCCCCCAGCTTCAACATTTCCTCTCATTCCTTTTCTCACACACGCGTTGCCGCTCGTACACGCCATCGCCACTGCCGCAAACACATCACGGATACAAACCTTGATAATTCCAGGTGAAAACCTCAACAGCTGCTGCTCCGGTTGAGCCATCTACACACACACACAGCACACACACAGCAGGCACCATGAGAGGGGCTCTCGTTCAAGTCGGTCTCTTGGCCGCGTGCGCTGGGCCGTCTTCTTCGGCCCTGGCGGCCGTTGTAGAAGCTAGTACGCTAGCCACCGTGACCGTCGCAGCACCACTGTACGACACTACGGTCGCTGCCAGTGATGGTGGTTGTAGCCCTACGGGCTGCATTGGCGGCAATACCAGAGTGAGCCCACTACAGCAGTAGTCTATTTGTAGTTTCGGCATCGCCATGCAGCCGTGTGTAGTCTGGACTTGTACAGCCGTGTGGGGTTGCTGTATCGGAAGAATGCCATCTCCATTATTCTTTGGTCCCAAACCAGTGAATGGACTAAAAAATCTTGCCATTTATAGCCCGTGTGTTGTTCAGCAGAGTTAGCATAGATAGATACTATACGTGTAGTGGTGTGCATGCGTAGTGATCTACCGTGTAGCCGATGATCTACTGCTGTACTGACATTCATTGTAGAGCACGCATTATTGATTGATGATTAGCCCACGACAGCAAGCACTTAGAGCCGCCTTCGCGCCAAAGTCTGAGCGAAAATTGGATCACAATTTTGCTTGGTCTGTCTGCTGTACAACGATGACATTCGAAATCCACTGCTGCTGTAGACCATTACCTGGTACGTGTACTTGTACAATGTCGGAGGACACAACACACAGCAGCATAAACTATGTGCGCTACTGCTGCTGTATGGTGTTGTCGGAAATTGAGAATGTTGCGGGATATAGACTAATGTACTCCATAGACCAGCAGCACCAGGTTTAGGGATAGCTGTAAATGGTAAATGCATGTTTGTAGCATACAGATATCGTTCCTGGTGGACTTGCCGTGTGCCTTAGCGTTTCGACGCTGCCTTTTCCGCACATACCATTACCCACGGTGTCGCATACCTCCGGGAAGGGGATGATTTTCCTGTGACATTGTGCTTCCCTGGGCAAAAAACACATGTGACAAGTTTCATTTTTTTTTTTGGTGAATTTACCCCGGCGGGTAATTATACCCCGGGGGGAGAGACGGCAATTTGAGACACACTTACATTCTGTGCCGGCTTGTGCCTTTTGACACAACAATGGTGCTTTCAGACCAAACCAGAAGACGAAATCGTCAACCCCGCGACAGCGAAGCGCAAACAATCAGAGAACAAAAAACAAACCTGTACTGTCGGTGTACATAGTCCGTGACCACCGCCTAATCCGTTCACCGCCTTTTACTGCCGCACAGGATGGCGACGCGACATCTCTTGAATCCCGATGGTCCTGCAAGCCTGCCCTTGGCGATGCCGGCTCAGAGTGTAGGATCACGTACGGCCTAGGCATCCAGTACCAGCTGACCGGTTTGAACATCGGTATGTATGGTGTGCCGATAGATCTCGTTTATTCTTGTGTACTCTATTTTTATGGTTCTGCTTGCTTAGACTGCGGTAGTCGTGGTCCTGTCCTGCTGTAAAATAGTGTAAGAACTCGCGCTGCAAAAGTGCGTGGTTACATCCCCAAAGCTGAGTTCCTTATCCTAGCTGTCACGGAAACGGTTTTGAGCAAGCCTACGAGTACCATGCAGCCGCGTGCTCATGACTATATTTCGGCCAGGAATCTTCTCGAGTTGCAAGCAAGTCTTCTTCCACAATCGTCGGGAATACCGCCGATTCTCCTTCTGTCGATTCTTGCGTCGATAGAACACGTGCTCGCTGCGTGGACGCGGTCTGGTTTACTGGTGCGTGGGCAAACTCCTGACATGGTATGCATAAAATTGCGCAGAGATTTTCGTCTTGATTGCCTCGCCCTGTGTGTCTTTCGTCTTCATTGCTTCGCCCTGTGTGTCGAGTGTGAGCGATGGGCTTTGTGCACCGATCCCTCTCTCATTCTTTCGATATACTTTGTTCATTTTGTGCCACCTGCTGCGAGGTCTGAATGTTTGTGGTACCCGTTTGTGGTCAGTTTCCCGTTTGTGGTCAGTTTTCCTGTGACCACGTGACCACGCAATAGCAGATGCATGCCCACAACGACTGAAACACGTGGCGTTAACGAACGCAACTTCCTGTGTACGATTGCTCGCAGCGATGTACAAGGGTGACGAGCGGACGAGGACCCTCGAAATCAACATCGACAACCTCCCGTACACTGTCTGGACCAGCTCGGGCACGACCACCGACTTTGAAACCATTGAAGTCGACACTATGGGGCGATGGATCGAGATTGTCGGGGTTCTCGAGGACTCAGAGTGGCTCAGCATCATGGAGGTTCGTTGGTGTGGCGTTGGCAGGTCATTGACTGGTCGTGTGCGTTCATGTTGCCGCCGTTCGTGCATATCTCCGATCTGCACACGCGGCACACTCGCATGCCTACCTCTGCAAGCGTTTCGTAAATGCCGAACAATGCCAACGATGTGTCCGAGCTGTCCTAGTAGCTTGCCAGCACCTCTGCGTTTCCATGCGTGCCAGAATCATCGCCTACATAAGTCAATGATGTAGAACTTCTTTACGGTCTCGTCTATTGTGAACAGGTGGAGATTCTGGTCGACGGCGGTGTTACCGATACCGATGATGTTGTCGATACCACGGAGGTCGAGGCCGGCTCCCTGGGAACCGTCACGGCCACGTCTGCCCTGTTCGATCCCAGCCTCGGCGACTCCAATGGATGCGATCCCGCCGGATGCACGGCAGAACTGACAAGGGTAAGCGATGCGTATGTGCGTATGCCCCCAGTGCATGTCCTCAATACTAGAAGTAGAAGACAACCTGCGGACAGGAGGCAGAAGGCCACCTAGTACAAGAGCAGTGCGTACACCTTACCGGTGTCGACGAGTCTTGGACGACTTTATTGTAGTGAGATCACTGACCAATCCGGCCAACGGTCTCCAACCGTATCCCACAACACAAAGCTTGTGCCGATGTACATGAAGAATGTCCAGAACGTAGTGCCCTCTCCCGCACTGGTATCCTCCCTCCCAGATGATTGTTCTGCTCGCTCTTCCTCCCAAACACTAGCCTCGCCTGACCAAGAATATCTTATTGTCAACCCCGCTGCAGGATGGGGACGTCTCCGACGAATCCAGGTGGTCTTGCGCCCCCTCGCTCGGCGGCACGTGCAGCATCTCCTACGACCTCGGGGCCGTCTACGACCTCTCCGAGCTCCGCCTCGGTAAGGCCACGTTCGTTCGCATTCACTATGGACCATAGCGAACTACAGTACTTCGCACATTCTATATCACTCTCAACGCTTTGTGGTAGATGCGCGGAGTTGTAGCTCCACTGTCATCCAAACACAGCTGTGGCACCGACAGGCATGGGCACCACAAGCGCGGCTTACCTTATGACCCATTTGTGACACACGAAGCTGACGATTATCACCTCCACCTTTGCGATACCGAACTCGATTCTGTAACATTGTCAGCGTTGTACAAGGGGACAACCAGGGTCAGAACGGTCGATGTAACGGTCGATGGTTCCCTCGCCACCACCTGGACCAGCTCGGGCACAACGGACGGCTTCGAGAGCATGCATCTGTCGGGATACTCTGGGCAAGTCGTCACCGTCACCGGCGTCCTGGACAGTTCAGAGTGGTTGAGCATTACAGAGGTCAGTGCGCATGTTTGCTGCGCCGGAAGTCTGCGTTAGCTTAGCTGTGATCAATAATGGTGTAGCGACCGCGGCGGCTTGATGCCGTAGCACGCGCATCAGCAGCACATCAATTGCACTTTCCCGCACAATCAAGAGGGTTCGGGATTCTGCACTTGTGCGGATTGCTGTTTTCCTTGTCTCAACGGGGTATATTTGGTCGAAATCGTGGATATTTTCGTAGGTTGTTTCGGGTTTTCTTGCTTGTGTGTCGGCGGCCCGCTATGGCATTGCACGAACGCATGTCCCAACCCAGCTACAGGCGTCTTCCGTGCCCACGCTAAGCCATGGCGACGGTGTCCCTTTTCCTGCCTCCCCCCGTCGTGCAGACGGAGATCATGGTGCTATCGGACGGCGTCGTTTCGCCGCCCAGTCCTTCTACGACCACTCCGGCTCCCGTCTTCGCTCCCGTCGCCACCCCGAGCCCGACTCCTACCGTACCCACCCCCGAGCAACTATTCGCCGCCAAAGAGATCGATGAGATCGGTGCCGTCACCACCACCGCAACACTGTTCGACCCCAGAGTCCTCGCTGACGATGGATGCGACCCGTCAGGGTGCACTGCGGATCTTACACGGGTGGGTTTCTCTTCTAGCGTATCGTGGGGGCTTAGCTTAGGTTTGCCAGTAGGGTGTGGCAGGTTTTTCCGGATTGTACACAAGACACACAAAAACAAAATTCGTACTTCGACAGCATTCCTTCGTGCAGTTTCGCGACATGGAGCGTCAGTATCTCGGTCACATGTCCGGGTGGTGAAAGCACGGTGTTTGTAGCTCATGAGGCGGACGAACGTGCAGTCCACAGTGCGGGTTCCGTTTGCATCCGCACCGCCATGTTTAACGGGTTTTTTGACGACCAGCACAGGACCCCAGAAATAACACTGGTTGCCCTGTATTGGCCGGTGAACTTGCGTGACACACATGGAATATTCATGCTGTCCCACTCTATGAATAGTGCCGATGTCCCGGTAATTAGGCCGGCTTCCTCCCTTGGCGCAGTGCGGCGGGCCTAAACAAAGACCACCACTCTGCCGCCGTCGCTAGTCGGACGTACTGACTGTTGTGTACCGTGGAATGTACCGTGAAGGATGGAGACTACGCAACGAGCTCCCGTTGGTCCTGCGCGCCCAAGCTGGGGGGCGATGGCGACAGCTGCACTATCTCGTACGACCTCGGGCAGGTGTACAACCTCGCGCAGATCCGCTTAGGTAAGCGCAGACCCACGCAGCCGAAAGCGACGACGCTCTTGGCTCTCGGGTCGCACGCCCGAACGGCGTGCTTGTTGGTTGGAAGCGGGGGCACAACATTAATTCTATTGACTACGTTGAGATCTACGATCCCGGTTGGCGTTTTTCTGTTGCTTCTCTAGTTAGTTGGTCTTGGCGTGGGCACCTACAACGGTTAGGGATACGGATCAAGTACTGTCCTTGTGCTTGGGAGGATACTTTTTTCATTTCGCAATCGGCCATCCGCGCCTCTGTATCAGCGGAACACGCCCCGCCTGATCCGTGGCCCACGAACTCGTTAAGCCATGCAAACGTTCCCTGAGCGTGCTTAAGGCTCCCTCCTCCCAACCTCCGACAAATCAGCCATGTACAAGGGCGACGAGAGGCAGGTGACAGCAGAGGTGCGAGTGGACGGTGTCCTGGTGACCACGTGGACCAGCTCGGGCACCACGGTCGGCGCCGAGAGCATCTTGTTCTCCGACACGACGTCGGGGCAGGTGGTAGAGGTGACCGGCGTGCTGGGAGACTCGGAGTGGCTCAGCATCATCGAGGTCAGTCTATGCCCATCACGTCGAATTGAAGCGACACACGGTAGAACCCAGACACGAACTGTCGTGAGGCCGCGCGCGGGTTGCGCTGGGTGCTGTAGGGTGATAGACAAGCTACGGCTTTCTCCACTATACCCAACCATTGCGGTTTCTCCGTGGCAACACCAGTTGGACTGAGTTCTCGGTACTGAAAAAAGGTTTCGTCTGTATTTTGGAGGCGTTCTCGGCTGCAGCCTGTTGATCGTCCGTCGCCTTCGTGACCGCAACCATCTCCTTGCCGAGCAGACCCTGATCTATGTGTGGCCGGACACCGCCCCCACGCCATCCACCACGGGGTCCACCCCTGCCCCCGCCCCCGACACCCCTGTCGGAGAGCTTACGGCGGTGGGTCTCCTGCCGCTCGCGGACTGCACCGGATGCTTCGGAGAGGACCTTCCTCCGTTCCACTCGAAGGTCTGTTCCGTGCACACGTTCGGGGCCGTGTGTGTTCGTGTCCATTATTATTGGCTCATTTATCTTTGTATCCGCCCTGGGGGGATAGACTCTTCCTACCTGCTCCTGTTGTTCGCTTGTAATCACTACCAAGACGTTTACATTTTCCTGCGACCAGGACGGGGACTTCTCAACCTCGTGGACGTGCGTTGGGAGCAGTGAGTGCACCCTTCGATTCGACCTCTTCTCCTGGCGCCACATCAAGCAGGTCAAGATCGGTGAGAAAGCAAAGTGTCTCGCGCGTGGTTAACGTTCATAAGTACTTCGGCCCCGACAGCAGGCAGCGTTTGCTGGTGTATATTGATTGATCGTGCGTCAAGTTTTGCTGCGGCTATTTGCGCGGTTCACTCGTACGCGATAGGAAAATTCTGTCATTGCTGTTTATCTCTGGTTGCATCCGCTTGTTGTATCTTGTTTTCTGTGGAATTCCCATCCCCCGCCCTCCCTGTCTTGAGCTTGAGCGCGTGGATGATACATCCGTGGTCGGACAAACAGTTGCGCTATCCGTCTCTGTGACTACCCGACTGTTGGCGTTGCTTGCGCGAGCGCTGTGCATGGTTCGTCTTCGCCCGCAGCTGTCTTAGCAGGGTCCTGCCTGCCACCGTCTCACACGACGACGTCATCTCCACGATCTCCCCTTTCCGTGCTCTGCTTTTCCCTCGCAACAAATGTGAATAGCTCTCCCTGACGGTGCCGAGCGGGCGGTCGACATGAGGATCGCGGGCCGGTACGATGATGAGGTAAGCCCCCCTCCACCCTGCTGCTGCATCGTCTTGCTACTGCCGCTATTGCCTTGTTCACTGATAGCATCGGTTCGGCCGTCAGCCGAGTAGACGCCTGAGAAATGTCCCCTAGAAGGTAGTTTGGCAAGGAGGCTTTTGTTTATTCCTCTGTAGTTGGCTGGATGACCCACACAAGAAGCCCCCATTTCGGATTGAATCCTATCAAAGTTGTACTGCTGTAGCGGGGCTGGCTTGGTTTAGAATGGGCATAAAAGGAGTGAGCTTGAACCAGGAAGCGCAAACACAGTTCCTCAATGGTGAATGAGCGCTGTGGCCTGCAGGCGTGATGCCCGTCAAAGGCACAACAAATTCGTTCAGACAGACAGTGTTCAATCGCATCAGTGTGCAGCCTTGCGGAGTACACCGCGAGCGTGAACGAGCCATCAACACCGTCTTGGGGGATAGATTCCTGGATTGACTGGTTGTCTGATAGAATATATCGTTCGGGTTGCGGTCCGCGCCAAACGTTCACCCGCCCACCCAAGTCAATATAATTCCATCCGCATGCCGCCTTCATGGATGGTTCCTTACCGGCAGAGATTTTGGTATCTTGGTGCTTGATTCTCGTATGCATGGTCGAAAGCAACGCCCCCCCCGACGGGTTCTGTGTTGTCTCTCTACCACTTTCCGACTAGCTGGCGGCAGCCTTTGCGGAAGCCTACGTAACCAGCTCTGGAACGACGGACGAATTCGAGACGTACGACTTCGACGTCTTCACGAACGAAATACTCATCTCCGGTGTTTTTACCAGCGACTCACAGACCATCAGCATTTCTGAGGTGCGTCATTGCCGAGACTGATAGAGGGTGTTTTAGCGTTCTCTCGTTGGCGGTGAGGGCGGCGGCGGAGAAACATGCTGATGTTAGCTCTTGCCCCTATCGCATGGACAGACTGCGACGGCGACCGCCGCCGCAGAACGTATTGTGCCAACGGTTGGGCTTGCGACTCACGCGCACCAGTCCATATCAACACGGCTGCCAACACACTGTGGTAGAACCCAGCAACGGGTTTGAAGGGGAAGAAATCGAGTAGTTTGTCTCGCCGGTTGATCCCCCCTCTCGAGTTCGCTTGATGCTGTCTGCGCACACAACAAATACCCAGAAGGATCTGTCGAACCTCACTGCCCTGACATATTGTTTTTCACCGTGAGCTTCCCTTTTTTTAATCGTGATGTTTTTGCTCTCTTTCGTGGTGGTGAATGGTGGTGGACCCGCCAACGCAGGTGGAGTTCATGGAAGAGCTTCAGGCGGGCGAGATTCAAATTTCGGAGTGGGATACCCCGTTGGCGGACGCCCGCGTGGACGTAAGTTTGGGTGAAGACCAAGCACTGTGTCCGGGTGTTTCGAATCCATCAATAGAATGAGACTTTCGCATCGCACTCTTTCTTTTCATTCAAATCCATCCGTAGTTGCACCAAAGTGTTAATGCAACACCCTTCGATAAGAGAGCCAACTCGTGGAGTATGACGTGACCAGTGATGTTCTACTCACCGTTTGGTTATCCAAGCAAATGCGCCCCCTGTCAGACACGAGAGGGTGCCTGCATTGCATCACCTCTTCAGTTTCGAGGTTAGGAATTTCTGCCCTATCGTTTGAAGGGTTCGCCGGTAATGCAACCGCCACCAATGCAAGCAAACGCGGCTTGCGATCTGTCCTGGTGATCATAGTGCTGGAAGCAATGTGCCTGCATGTCCGTGTTTCGTGGTGCTGTGGGTGTCCTTGATTGTTACGGTCGATATTCCTGGGAGTACGCACATTGTCCTCTCTCGAAGAAAGCATTGGAAAACGGTAGTAATCACTGTTGATGTCAATCATTTTTGAAATGTCGGTGTTGACGTTTCACGCCAACCGCTGCGCCGCAGGGGCCGACGACCGACGCGTTCGATTGGACTTCTGACTCCAACGATGCCATCGGTCGGACCGTTGATTTCGAGCTCGCCTCGTACGCCATGGTGGATGCGGTTGAGATCAAGTTCCCCGTCGGGGATACGTACAAGTTCGACCTGGAGCTCAACGACGACCAAATTCGTGGCGAGATTCTGAAAACGATTACCGTGAGCGCAAACGACCGAGAAACTGTTTGTGTAGCGTGTTGTTGCTGTCTTACGTACGTCATGTTGGCAAAAACATTTCCACGCCTTCAAGACGCTGGTTGATTCATTCGTTGAATAAATTAGATTCCGAACTCCTCGGAATTCGAAAGCGAAAGCGCAGTCATTGTATGTGACTCAATATCGCCGACGATGCCCACTCCAAAACGTTAATGAGATGGCCGAGACACTCCTTACACGCTCGTTAGTTTGAGCGCAAGACAGTACGTGATGGGGCGAGAGGCGCAAACCGATTTATCGCTTGGTGGGAGCATCTGTTCGACCTGACTAAGAATGAATCAACGTGGCAAAGACAGTCCTTCGAACTTGAAAATGTCCGCCCGCGTTGAAGACGACACAATCAATAACGCCTTCCGTCACCCAACACCACACGGAACGTCCCATGCTTTTTTCTTCTACAACAGGGATTCGAAAGCGCGGATACCGCAGACTGGCAGTCCTTCGACCTGAGCCAGCACCTGGACGCCGACCAGTTCCTCACCGAGATCAATATCGTTGTCCAGGGCACAGGCTCCGGGACACCTGGCTTCGCGATGCTCGACTTAAGGGTCATGGGAACAGCTATCGACAACCCTACCGACACGGTGTATGTGAGTGTTGGTTCGACATCGCGAGCACAGAGGATGCTATGAACACAAGGATGATGGCTGAAAATAGTTCTGGAAAATGCACCATTCTGTTTGGGCGGTAGCCACGTATTCATCTCGCTGCGAGTTGTGGCAATACAGAACACGCCGAAACTTAAGGGTTTGGTACACGGGTAAGAAGTAGAGGGTTGGATTTTCACGAAATTCTTAATGAGAGTGTGTCCTACAACATTATTTCTTTATTTCTTTGACCAGATCAAGCCCATCAGATCACAGTCCCCACTGAGGTCCTGTACACGACTTGAATATCAATTTTCCCTTCTGGACTCACGTAACGTCACTCGCTTGTGAGGCCATTTAATGCTGTATTTCACTTCATCATCGCCACTCGTTGTAAGCGCCTTTTCACTATCGTATTTGCGAGACTGACAGTAGGGCTCGCTTATGTCAACTCGCCGAAAAGTCGTATTTCCCCAGAGATATGCACTTATACCCTCCTGTAGTTGATCGGAACTTCAAAGGTTCTGCAACTGTGAAAATGCCCCCTCCCGACGTGCCAATGCCAGCAGACATTGCTTGCGCGCACGAGAGCTCGGAAACAGCTATTTGAATAACGATGTATTTTTACGTCGCATGATCTGAGACCCGCCGTGGTGGCAAAGGTTCTCAAGCCCTAGGATCGGGATATCTTGGCGGCCATGACCGCGGCCATGACTGCTCAATCGTTGAGACACGCCCCATGCTTCTTTGCGGGTCAACATCACGGCAGGTGGGCTCCACGTTCATCGAGCGCTGGACCAGGCTCACGGACCGGTACCCGGACTTTGTGGCGGAGGGGACCGGAGACCAGAAGACCATCATGGAGGCCATCTGCACCGTCAAGAAGGCTTCCTTCGACGGCGTGGACTGTGTCGGGGGAGATGACGCTGCCACCGGCACGGTAAGACTGCGTCTCTACCTCCGCCTTGGTGCGGAAAGACGGGGGGCCATTCGGGTCTCTATTTTTTCAGAGCGGTGGTAGCGGCGATTCCATGTTGTGGTACCGCTGTGGACGGCGTGGTTTTCTCCGAACAAAAGCCTTCAGGTCGGACCGGTTGACTCTACATGTACATGGGCTGTGTGCCCTGTGCATGCCTTGGTACCTCTTTCATCATCTTCCTTCCGGTGTTCTTTCGCATTCTGCCGTAAAAAAACAAGAGGAAAAATTCTCACGGAGAGGATCGGACGGGGATGCGGGGTGTGGAGTTAGTGCCGTTCCCTGTGATACAGCGGCACGCCGTTCTAAAGTCTTCTGTCTGGTGGCTTTTTGGACACACCCTTTCCGTGCCCTATTCGTGCCAGGTGGTCCTCCCACAGGGCAACTGGTATGTGGACGGGAACATCTTCATGAAGTCGGGTGTCTTCCTCGATGGCAGGTACGTCCTGTGTTCGCAGGGAGCATACGAAACAACAGGTCCCTTCGGAAGTTGCCTGTCCCTCAGACTAGGTTTTGGGTCTCCTTTCTCCGACAGAGCTTCAACGCATCATCGCAGCCGTGGCCAACTTCCTCTTGGTCTTGTCAGAGATCGGTGCACTACTCCCAAGCTTACGCCAAAGTCCGTCCCTCGTCGTCGTCAGTATTGATGGTAGCGAAAGTTGTAGCCGGCCACGTTCCTGTGTTCGGACTGACGTGGTACACATATGTTCTCAACCGTTACTCAGCTTTTCGGAGGACTCGCCATACTTCACCGGCATTATTCTGGAGGAAGGAGCTGCCGGCAAAACGGACATCGACGCAATGCTTGTCATGGATGGCATTTCCAATGCCATGGTGAGGCCTCTGCTTCTTTTGAGTCTGTGTAGAGTTTTTGTTACTGAGGAAATAACGATACCAGACGAAGCGCGGACAGACATGGAGCGTAGGAAGAAAACCGCGAGCTGCGAGAATATAATGGAAGGGCTGCTACAGAGACGGATCAAAGATGTTAGCTTTGATGTTCTAGGACCCGCTCGGCTGGTCTCGCGAGATTATGACCCGCGGCTGTCTCCGTTGGCGGAAAATGCATCACAAGGCATCCTTGCGGTGAACGCGTCTGCACTCCCCCCGCCTCGCCGATTCGCTATTTCTTCATATTCAGAATTTTCCCTTCATCTCAGAGTTTTCCCTTTCTCCTGCTGAATCTTCTTGCACGTTCTCAGACGGACAACATTTGGATCCGTGGGCACTACGACCCGGACACCAGCAACGACACTCCCGCCGTCCCCGGCCTGGGATCGACCGGATTGTCTGTTGTCGGCAGCACGGTGAGCCAAGGCATGCTGTCCATTCTCGTACTTTCGTTAGCCTCACCTGTGACATTTGGATGCTTAGTTTTATGCGAGAAGCATCACCTCGTTTGCTACTGTACTTTGTCGGCTGATATTGTTCGGTTCTATGTAACATACCATTCAATCCGCATGAGTTCACAATTCTTGCCCTCGCAGCCAGCCGCTTGTACACGAGGCGATTCTGGACCATGATGACAGCATCCGATACCCTTTGCTTGTCCCCCCGACCGCCTCAACCCAGAACATCACGTTGCTGGACGCCGAGATCCGCTTTATCGACGGCGACGCCTTGGTTGTTCGCGACTCGAACATGATCAGCATCGATGCGGGCGAATACGAAGAGTGAGAACACTCCCGTCGAAACGCGAAGAAATGTGGAAGGTCACTATTTTGTATCGTTTTCACCGTCTAGCATAGACTGTGGTGTAGGATCCACCGCTCAGCTGGGTTTTCTTACCGCCAATTTAATTTTTTTTGGAAAGTTGGAGCCATCAAGTCTGAATAGATTTTTTCGTGCTAGCACGGGGCCGCTGTAGGAGAAGGCTGGGTGGTGTGTTCATTCAATCAAGCTTTGTATTCAACCTCCCGGCTTCATATCGCGAGGTCTTGGTCGGTTGCCCGCTTCTGGCTAGTGGTTTGCTTTGCTGGGGGCGATAATAGGTCGATGACTAGAATGCGTCGTGCGTCGGAATTTTCCGTTGGTGTCCGGATGATCAACGCTCGACGTCTGAGTGTTTCTTCTTGCTGTGACTGGTATTTCTAGCTGCGGGGACCCAGGTACCCTCAGCACTGGGACGGACCGACTCGCCCACCAAAATCTACAACGTGTCGGCTGTGTGACAAAAGCACCCCGTGCAGGTTGATCCATCACAAACGTGTTTTGCTCGTGTCGCCTTGTCAAGTGTCAATCAACCACCGTCGCATCCCTTATGTTGCATGGCTTCCTCCGCGTGTGTCGATTTCGACCGCGCTGTTCCTCAAACCTTGGCAGGCTCTACACCCCCTGGTCCCTTGCTTCAAGCCGAGGCACCGGGCTTATCGTGGACTCTTGCGACTCCATCTACGTTCGCCGTCACACCGTAAGTGCACTACACGCGTCAGCACTGAATATCCTGGGAGTTGCGAAACCCACGCTCGTGAGGACACGACCTAGGCGGTCGCCAAAGGCCAGCTACTCAGATGAGAATCCTTCACGAACGGATATTTTTCATAGTCGATGTTGAGCGACCCCACAGAAAAACTTAGGAGCGAGCCTCGGACAAAATTGGAGATTCTGAAGTGATGGCGCCTTGTGTATCACGCGATTCACCATGACATATGCAAAGTCCCTTGAACAAGAGCATGGCCAGCATGCCGAGGCCAGGGTTTTCATTCCAAGGCAGGGTCCTCGAAAGCAGGCCGGGACGCGCTCTTCTTCCTCCTTAACGAAACTCCTTCACGAAATCTCGTGATTTATGCTCTTTAAACACAGTTCTTTCGATGGTATGTGTCGTGGTTTGGCGCTCCCTTACCTGTGGTGGAAAGAAGTTGCACAAGCAGTTTAAGGAGAGCGCGGAGTGAGGCGACTTCTCCATGGGCCTTACCCCAAAGTTGGCGTAAGCTGCCTATTGGCTTGATGTTCACAACTAGGATAGACCCAGCCAGGAGGGGAGGCGAGGCTTCTTCTACTTCCACGGGGGATGGTCTTTACGAACCCTCCCTCGAAGAGAAAACAAAGTATTTCCGCCAGCTGCTGAAACAGATGCGTTACCTCAACCAATTCGTCCACAATTTTGAATCCCCCCCCCATTGTCGCCTTATTTCTCTCCTGCATGTATGCATACAGCTCTACGAGAATGGCGTCGCGGGGATCCACATCATGGGGACCACCAACTTCACCTTCGACGCGACCATAGGCGAAGAGAGCAACGTTGGCGAAGGCAACGTCGGAAACTTGGACGGGCAGCAGCCGATCGACGTTATCATCGAAAGCTCGACCTTGGTGACCTTCAACGACCTGAGGGTACAGTCATCCAACGGTAAGAGCGTATGTAGCGCACCCGTCGAGAAAACATGCTTGGTTCACGCGGACGAATGTTATCTAGGCGAACGCTGCGTCCGTCTACAGAACACTGCCATGCAGGGTCGTGTGGGGATCCGCGTGCTGTGCGTGGAAGCTTCAATTGCCATTGCAGTAAGTCTTGTTATCCTCGAGGCAATAGTGGTCGGCAATATCTCCGTAAATCTATGCCACGAGTTGCGGTGAGGTTCGTTTGGTTCTGAAAATGTCTTGGGAAAACACGCCTCGATTGGTTCGGGCTCCTCCACCCGGCAACCGCAACGACGGCCAAACTTTCAGTACACATGTTTGAGTACATCTGCTGTGTTTTTACGTCTCTACTGCTTTGCACGGCTGCGTCTCGCTAAATAATTCTGAGTTGGAGTTGACTGGCCTACTGAGGCTGCGCATCCCTTGCCGAAATTCCACTCCCCTCACACAAACACCACTTTGTGGCCTGTCTTGTTTGCTGGCCGCTGTGGTCTCCATCCTGCGACAGATCCGATAATGACGGTCTCTGACCACTCAACAGTGTCCTTCAACAACCTCGGCCTAAGCCGCGTTGAGGCAGATGCTTGCGTGATCCAGGTATGTCCGGGCGGGAGCGTGGCTTCACGCAAACGAATTTTATGTCCCGCGGTAGGACAGGGCCGAACAACAACCGAATGAGCACAGTAATGAGACGCAGCTGGCAGGTGTAGTGCACATGTGCGCAACCCCAAAGATCCAATGTCCGGAAAGCTACCACTCGCTATCGTTCAACCGATCGACGCGGCATTAGTCTGGAGGCACGGTGGATGACACTGTTTTCTCTTCCTTCGATTCTGTCAGAACGCGGTTGTTGTTCTGTTTAGCTTGCATCGCTGCTTTTACTGTGGCTCCATGCTAGTGTTACTCGTACAACGGTTGAACTCAAATTATATTCCATACAACATGTATTGTCAACACGTGGTAGTCGTTGGTTTTCTCTAAGATGGCTCAATCGCTGCTCTTGCTGTGGATCCATGAGCCTTACACAATAAGTACCCAGAACGTGGATTTCTTGTTTGTTCGTGTTGTCAGGTCGCTGCCTTTGATATGACTCAAATGATTATCACGTGCCGACAACAGAAAACGACCCATAACTGGTGTTCGTTGAATTCTTTGAACTTTTTGTGCCATTATCAGACTGACGACACCAGCACGGTGACCATTGACGCCGACGAAGACGAGCTTACCCTCGACGGCACCTGCTACGTCAGGGTGTAAAAGGGCGCTCCGAGAGCTCTCGATCAGAGCTGAAAGCATCCTATCTTGTAAAGTATGACACCAGAAAGGGTTGCTTCCCCCGTTGCTGAGAATTTGGCTTTCAAAACGAATGGTCACCAGATATCTACATTAGTGTTGAGTGTGGTGTCTCACGTAGCCCGATGATGTGGTTGAAGTGTAGTTTTTTATCTTGGGTTGATATTGACCCGTAAACGTCTTGCCACCAGGTGCGGTACTGCTAGCTGTTGGGTGGGGGTGTGCTATCTTACGTCGTATCCGTCGAGTATGAAAGGATGACAACAAGCTGGCCGTTTTGGAGTCAGGTGCATCTATCTTCGTTCACCTGCGCTTTTCTTGCGTATCTTCAGGTGTGTGTGTTTCTTGTTGATGTGAACAATTAAATGTATGGTTACATTATCCACGTAGACTGGAGCTTAGAACCCCCACCGCTGGCTTGCCAAGGGAGTTGTTCGAGAGAGACGAGCATGAAGAGCCGTCCTTAATACCCAGGAACCTCTCCGCTAAATTTACGGTGCTGTCACTGGATGGACACGTGGCCGGAGATAGCTTGAGGGAAGATCATCGTTCGTGTGACAATGAGTTTTTTTCTGTCAACATTTATGTGAGATTTGACGGGCTGGTGCCGAAATGACGGTTATGGTTTTGTGCTGCGCTGAGCATGAGTTTTTCCATCGAACATAGAGAGTTGATGGGCTGGTGCCAACAGAAAGGTTATGATTTGTGCTGCACGAAGCAATTGGTCGCTTCTCGTCGATACGGCCGATTGATCCGTGTCCACGAAAGCCCGGCCAACAACGCGTGTGTTGTATGTTGTGTTTCGTCCCAGCTGTTCTGGGCGACAGCTCTAATGGATTGTGAAAATGTATCGACGGACTGAGGTTTCTTCGACGGGCTCTTGAGTTTATATATTGCATGCCTCCTTTGTAGGAGATGTCGCCGGCGACGTCTGACAGCATGCATCTGGGGCCAAAGTTTGTGTTTTTTGTGGTGGCGTTCTGCTACAGTATAGAACAGGTCCGGAGCAGAGGCCAGAACCGGTATTAGCGTGACACCAAATCTAGACCGTCGTGTAATGGGGCTCCACGGAGTATTTCCATGTGTAGTCTTGGAACCAATCCCCTCGGTTCGAGAGGGAAAGTCTTCGGGAAGACTGAAAGGTGGAGCGATAGATTTGAAGGGAGACACAAGTAAATGCCAGACCTCTGGAGCTTTTTTTTCGCGCTTTCAGGTCCGAGGGCGATCATGTCGAGGGCGAGCTTCTCAAACACGCTTCGCGTGGTCGATTTAGATGCGTCGGTCAGTGGTTGCAACTTTTTCTAAGGAGGTGCATGTATGTCTTCAGAAAACTGCATGATTGTAGTAGCAGGAAGTGAAACATTTCTTTGCAAAGGTTGCTTGGTGTTGCTATTATCTTGAGGAACATACTGAACGTTGTCTATCGCCGCTTTTCCTGTGAGCAAGGAAAAGGGGCAGCGCACCTGTTACTCCCGTTTGTAACCCCTCTTGTGCTTGGTATCAAAAGGACCCTAGAAGGGGTGTGTTGCCGCGGATTGACACAAACAGCATGAGCAAGGGCAACACCTAATCCCAACCCTAACCCAACACGCCTAAGAAAAGCTGACGAAATCGTACACGAATCTCCGAAGCAAAATATCCCCGCACCAGGCAGTCCCCCGTTCAACAAAGCCGTAAGACCAGGCAGTCCCCCATGCAACAAAGCCGTATTTACATGTCGGTGTCTTGCAACACACCAATCGAGGAACCGATTTTCGAGCCTTAGGCTTAGGCTTCCCTAACTCTATAACCCAAGCCCGTCCTACCACACCTATTTCTAAAAGCGGCCGTTCCGCCCTAAATACGCACACCACGCGGGAGCTCGAGGATTCAGACAAACCGCTGGGTGTCAACCCTGGCGTCGTCCGTCACTCCTCGACCAAGCCCATCGCCAACAGCGCCTGCTCAATTATCAATGCCCAGTGGGTCCAGTGAGTGCAGCCTTGGGCAAAGACGATGTAGGGAGGCCTCAGGGGACCGTCCGAGCTGAGCTCGAGAGTGCTCCCGTCGACAAAGGTGCCGTCGGCAAATATTACCTCGTCCCCGTAGCCTGGCGTGACGCCCGGGACTATCGAAAGGCAGCGGCAAGGGAGACGGGGGGCGGGGGTGGGGATCGACTTCGGAGGCAGAAAAAAAAAGGGGTAAGTGTAAATGCAGAGAAGGCGGGGATATTGGGAACGAGAGGGGGAGGGGGGGGGCGAAAGAACCAACCCATGCATGGTACGGAAAGCGTCACGGGTGCGGGACACGAGAGAAATGTTTGCAGCGAAGGATGCAATACTGCAACACCTCAAGACTGCGGGTTATGCCAAACCTCGGTATGGGAGACGCACAGTGCCGCAAGCCGCAAAGCCGACGCGCCTCGCTAAGGAAAACGCAATGCCGCACAATACATGGTCGTCCCTCCCCGAACGCATATCACGGACAAAATGCCACCACCAACACTCTTTTCATGGCTCGACCAACTGCAACCATGCAGCATTAGAAAGAAAAAACTCCGACCTACATCCACCACGGCTTACCCGGTCGCACGTAGGCATTGACGGGACTAAATAACTGCACCGCCTCGCAGAACTTGATGAGCCTATCTCGATCCCCCAGCTCCAGGGCCTGCACAATGTCCGTCCGTCCTCCTGCGCCCCCCCCTCCAAGTTCGGCCCCAACCGAGCCCCCGCCCCCCGCCGCCGCCGCCGTCGCCCCTCGCGCGTCGCCGTTCACGTCTGCAGCCGTGTCATCGAACACCGGCGGCGGAGGTGGCGGCGGGTTTGTCGGGAGCCCGAAGGTGCCACCGAACACCTCCGCTAGCAAGATCGCGCCTTTCAGACTCTCGCCGACGATGGTCGGCGCCAAAAATAATCCCTTCCTTGGTGAGACCCGAATCGGTGGGGGGGGAGCAAGCACCCGAGCGGGAACATTACAGGCCCACGGTTAAGAAATACTTCGTTAAGAAACACAGGCTCAACATTACACGAAAAAAAAGAAAATGGGGTTGAGAAACACAGCTCAGCGGTGGATCCTAGACCATACTCTTTAAAACAACCGGTGCTCGACAGTGGCGAAGAAACAAGAAAATTGAGCCTCGACCCCATTTTGAGGTTTCTTATCTCCGAGCGCGTTCTACAGTGGGGTTGATTTTGCGGCTGGCCGAGAAACGTGGGCTCGTTGAGCCATACGAAGGAGATTGGAGCAATACAAAGGAGATTGCCTCTGGCCGTCCCAGACTTCATCGAGAGCCCTGCGTGCCCTCGTTGCCGAAAATGCAAGAAAGAAAGCGACCGTGACTGTCACTCGGGTTTCTTAAGGCCAACAAGGGGAATGCACTAGACAAAATAACAACTGGATCTTGGTGTTTTCTATTGTGTGACCCCGGCTGGATATATATATATACCCAAGGGGAAGACTGGCGTCAGAACAGATGGGACGAAACCACAAACACAGCACACAAACAGCAAGCCGCCAAGGAGCGCCTTGCTCGGGAAAAAAACAAGCCGGAAAAAAGGCTGGGACATCCAAAAGGGGTTTCCATGTCGCTTTCGCTCGCGCACGACATCGATGGGTTTAATATTACGATCGCGTTAGCGGGAGCAGTTGCACCTGCTTCTTCGGACCCTCCTCAGCCGTGTTTCCGCGTCGTGCAGGCAACCGATAACAATATTGCGGCGCACGTCCGAAATAAGGAGCACCTGCCACCCGTGTAAGAGTGACTCACCAAGCGGTTGTCATCTGTCTGTCTGTCCATCGAAGAACGTTCGACGCGTGCTGTCAAATATCTGCTAGTCTGTCTGTCGAAGGCCTCACCTGGAAGAGGTTCTGGTTCTGCCCCAAGGTCGCCCCCCCCGCCACCCCGGGGGCACCGAGCCGGTTAGCCGCGGCCCGAACAAGCCTCCGCTTGCCAGCGACGTAGCCCCCTTCACGAACGAACGAGAGGGATTATTCTTGTCAGAGGTACGGACGACCGAATGGTCATTTAGTGACCACATCGATGTCGTCGCCGCCCGTCGCCGCGTGGCGGCGGCGGCGGCGGCGGCGGCGGGGTTTAAAACCTAACCGTACAGTGCGCGCGTGCGTGCGTGCGTGTGGCGCTTACCGATGGCTTGCACGGGACACGACCACGCTGAAAGGGACGGCCGGAGACGTATGCACGAAAGAACACGCCCTTGGTCGGGTGGAAAGGGCTCTCGCTGGACGTTGTTTTCTCGACAAACAAGACACAGCCACATGGAAGCTGCCATTAGCTGGACACGCGAACGACCGGACAAAATCTTCTACTCGTCGCGAAGAAAGAGCAAGAAGCGGAGGCAGCACACCTCCTCCTGGTCCCTGGTCCACCCCTGATTCAGACCATACAGTTGAGATTCTCGAGCTCAGGGTCCCGTCCACGCTTTGAAAAAAGCGTCGAAGAAAAGCAACCGCTCACCAGACTTGGCGATGGTGCCCCCGGGGTTCTTGATGAGAGACCCTGCGATTAGATCCGCGCCGACGTGGCACGGCTCCTTCTCCTCTACGAACTCCCCGTAGCAGTTGTCGACGAACACCACCAGCCCGCGCTCCGCCCAGCGAGCCTTGACATGCGAGCAAAGCCTGCGGTTGTGTGGACCGTCACTAGGCGGTGTATTGCTGCTTGTTTGGTCGACCGAGTGCTTCGATGGCCATGTGGTTGGGATGTTCGGCGGTGGGCCGGCGATCTGAATGGTCATCCGAACAGCCCACCGATGGGCATGTGCCCGGTGGTAGTCATACGTTGGCCGATCGCCGCCTTGACTACATGTAACATCTACAACGTGGGCTTTGCGCAGGGTTTTCAAAAGCAATGTGGTTTCATGCATACCGTCCCTTGGAGTAGGGATGAAACATCTTGAGCTCATCCAAACAACACTAAAAGAGCAAAGGGCAGGCACCCGCGGCTGGCAAGTTTACCTCTCTATCTCTTTGATGGGAAGCGACGGCCGCCACTGGTAGCCGCATGAACGCTGCACATGTAGCAGCCTGACGGCGGGGTCTGCCTCTATAGCCACGTCGATCGCCTCAAGATCAAACAAGCCCCCAGGCTGCAAGGGAACCTTTCGAAGCGGTATAGGCGCGTTTCTTGATTAGTTCGCGTCTCGTGTGCCCCAATCCAACTTCCACATGTGGTTACGTGCCAACGATACCCCTTGACTTCAAGCCTAACTCTAAGCATGCTTGTTTCATGTGCTTGGAAGGCACCTTGTGAAGCACTGAATAATATTCATCAAGATCGAACCTCGTCACGTAGACGGGACGGGAAAACATGATATACGCCGTACGGAGAGCAGCAAACCAATCGACATCCACCGAGTGCGACGGAAGTTGTCGAACTGGCCGCGCTTGCGGTGCTGCGGGGGTCTCGTGCTGTGTGCGAAGCCAATAAGCCAGAGCCGAAATCCGCAAACTACCCGATATCCCCACCTTCCGTGATGATCATCACACAACACACTCTCGACAGAAAAAGAACGAGCAAAGCCTTGCCTCGTGATCCGCGCAACGACGCCACAGGAGCTACATACCGTATGTGACGCAAGACACCACATCCCCTGGGCTGGTTTTCAAAGCCCAACTCAAAGGAAGTGTCTTCAGAAAGATCTCGGCGAGATAGGTCCAGCGCTGCCTTTTTCGGCATGGCACTCTTTCCGGAGGGGAGTAATCGAGCTTTGAAAACCGGTCCAGGGCGTGTGATATCTTTATGCCATGTTACCTACGGTGAGTGCCATCCACGGGGTGTGATATCTTATGTCATATTATCTACGGTGAGTGGCTATTCAGGCAGCCTTGAGAAACGGTCGGCGGGAATATGGCCTTCGATGTTCTCTGAACTGCCGCCCCAAACTTTCTCCCCCTCCCCAAAAGTTGTGTTGCTTGTTCATAAGTTAGTGCTGGCCCCAACGACAGTGACCAGGGAGATGCCCTTCTATTTCTGCGTCACAGTCTCCCCCCACCCCAATGTTTCGCACCTCCGTGTAGGACACGTGGAACTCCTTGAGGTTGCCGATGAGTCCCTCAGGAAGCGGGTCACTCGCGTCTGCGTATTCATCCTGCAGAGGTGATACCACGCGAGCCATGCACATAAGACCATTCTGTATGTCTGATTATTTTGTTCGGTGTGGGTTCGCCGGGCTCTTCGATTCTAAACACGCCCCCTGTCTGGGTTGTGGAAGATGTAAAAAGCTGGCAGTCAGCTTTCTGGGCGCTCATTTTCATCTTGCATCCGTCATCTGATAGCACTAGAGTGCTCTCACGAGCCCGCTGTTGCTGCGTTCGACAAGCGGCGCATGCAGTGCTACCAAAGTGTCGGGGGTGACTATCCGTCTGTCAAGTTTGAAAATAAACTAAGGCTCATCAGCACGTTGCGTGCGAAACTCACTGGCAGTTTAACGCCCTCATTATCGGCGAGGAGGAATCAACGGAGAGGCACGAGCCACCTAGCCTAGAGCTCGAGGGAAACACAACAAGGTCGCCCACCCCGTTCTGCCCTTTTTTCGCGTCACTCAAGACCCTCACGTTCATCGGTATGCGCGTTCCGATGACCTCGTCAAGGGTGTCGTACGGCCGGCCGCTGCACGCCAGCATGGTATCTCCCGGCCGCAAGACGCCAAAGAGCGCGCAAGCGATGGCGTGGGTGCCGCTGAAGCACTGCACGCGTACCTGCGAGGGGCGTGTGTCAACATCATCCACGAAAGACAGGTGAGAGAGATCGGGGGGGGGGGGGTAAAAAGAGACAAATCCTTGTTATCCCTGTGCAGGCGGTTCAGTTGGCCGAAGGTTCAGGGTGCGCATCTGCTGCGTGATGATCGTTTGCTATCTAGCCCAGCGACCTTTCTTGTTTCGACGTAGAACCGTGACAACAGCAACCGCAACAAGTGTAGCGACAATGGCGACAACCGGCAACGGCGATCGCGACACCAGGGACGACATATAAAAAAACACAGCTCACCAAGGCCGCCTCCGCCCCGAAAAGCCGGGCGTAGACCTTGTCGAGCGTCTCCCTACCGATGTCCCCGTGGCCATAGCCGTCCACCCCTGCGAATACGTTGCTGCCAACCCGGAACTCCCGGAAGGTGTCGAGGACACGACGAAGCGTGCTGTTATCGACAGCAGAGACAGATGTGTGTGGCGGGGACACGATTGATCGGAGGAAACCGTGCTTGGAGTTTTGGCCGTCTTTGCGACGACGACGCCGTGACACTCGCTATCTTTTGCTGCCATGGCTTGCAGAGGCCATCAAATACGCCGAGACGTCCCGTAAGTAGCACCCAGGCATTCCAGAAGGTGGACAAACATGTGGGCACCTTCGCAAACATGACAATGACAATGACTACCTTTCATAAACAGGGAATGGAGGCACGTTGGTTTTTGTAGTGCTGTACCGCTGGGGGGCTTCCCCCACAGTAAGAGCACAGTACAAGAATCCTGCTCCCGACGCTTACAGTACGCTGCTGCTGCTGTGCAGCTATGCTGTGGACCACCCCATTTTCATACCGCTGCCAACTAAGCCCCACAACCGGTACAGTAGTCGGCATACATACAGCTTTCGCGCGGTACTGCTACCACGCGTGCATAGAATAATATGCTGCGCCGTCCAAACCCTGCGGGTCCTCTGTCATTCGCCCATTTGCAGTTACCCACCGTTTCGTGTGGGCATCGACCTCGGCGAAAAGCGGAATCAGTCTCTCCCCCGCCTGGTCCACGGCTTCCTTGCCCGACAGCCCAGCCCCGAAGGAAGACCCCACTCGTTGTGCTCCTTCTACTGCTGCCTTTTGTGCCCGAGGGGCAAGGGACAGCACTTGCAGGCGACGATAGGCTGCGCGAGTGCGGTACTGGTGCACCTTTCTGGTCGCCCTCTGATGAGCGGTTGGAGCGCCCCTTCCGCTGCCGCTGCTGTAGGGAACAACGAAACCGCTACAAGTAGCACCACCGCCATCGCTTGAAAACCTCAACAGGACCAGCAGGAACGAGAAAGCAACGAGGAGAACATGGCGAGGGACGCCACTCATGTCCTCGCACACACAGGCGGGCTGAGAGTTACACAGTAGTAGTCTCGGCCGGGTTGCAACCGCTGCGGCCGCAACGCAAATGCATGGTCGTCCCTGGAGGCAAACGCCTTCTTTGATGGACAACCGTGAGATGAATTCACGGGGGCCCCAACACGGACTGTCCCACTCTGTTGTGCCTCTGCTCCGCTGCGCGTTGTGTTAAGTTTGCACGCTGGTGAGAGCCGCCACCGTCTTCCGCGAGGGCCTGTCAGCAACGTCGACATCGCTTATATCCTCATGCTGGCAGCTAGAATCCGAACAAGAGCTACCGGCCACTACAAGCTCTTCCCGAAGCGGGCACCAGAAGTATAAAACGACGATAACGCAGTCAAGCACCTCATCGAACGGCATCCTTGTTGTTCGTCTTGCACCTGGGAACACGGAAGCTCAGGTCTATCTCGGGGGACATGCTCTGCTAGCAACTTAGGTGAGCATTGGGACAGAGAAGGCGTAGACTACCTCTCAGCTTTGTGGGACCATCAGCTTTACGGCAATAGTTAGTTCGGTTGCGTAGGCGCTGTGGTGTGCTGCGCCTCCGCCTCTGCGTGTCGCTTTCTTATCGGAAAACATTCAAATCTCAGCAGTGGTGACCTACCAGGTACCTCGAGAGCTGAGGAGGTACAGGGCTGGTCTTGTCCAGATTGGTGCACCCACACTTCACACCCACATCACCAGTTAGAACCGGAAGATCCACAAAACTCCTGCTGTGGGCTGTGGGAGTAAAATGGTGGCGGGTCTACATATACACCGCTTTGTAGCAACCGATAGCTGGAATCAAGTGTGCGGCACAACAACGAACAGCCCCTTGCAGCATTGGCGACTGGGGGCCTGGAGCGAACGTTCCCTGTTGGGGATGGCCCAGCGCGACCTGCTGCGTCCCTTGGGTCCCTGGCCCATCGCGGCCGGGGACCAAATTGGCGCAAACGTGGGCGGGACGGACGCGTAGTAGCAACCACTTGGAGGGTGCGGCACATGCTGCGGTCCTGGTCCCTTCCTCGCGGGTTGCTGTTGGTGGTGATGGTGGTGGTGGTTCGCACAGGGAGAGGACTCCTTTTGCTCGCGAGTTGGTAGCGTGTGTCGCACGCGGCGCGAGTGGTGTAGGCTGGTGTGCCGACGTGGGGGGAGGGAAGCACGACAGTCCCGCCATCAACCCGCCATGGGACCGAATTTTTGTTGCCTTAGGAACTCTGGGTTCCGGTTGGATGAACGCTAGTTTCAACTAAATTATTGTTCATTCATTTCAAATGGACTGCCGAATGTTCTGACCCAGAGTAGTGCTTTCTGGAACTTAAGGCAGAAAAACAAACAAAGTGGTCTTGTCACGCGGGTGAAGCAGAGCTGCAGATGGAGTACGGCGCCTTCGATATTGCAGATCGTCCTTTTCGTCCTTGCCCACCTGCTGGTGACACCCAGATATACACCTCCACACACTCTTCGTTTTTTACCACCTGAAACACCCCCCGAAACGAAACCCGCGCCACCACCCCCTTCGACAGCAGATCCTTTATTCATGCAGAGGAACGGAGAAGAGAAGACAAGGCACGCGGCCACAAACGGCAACACCTACGTCAGCAGCAGAATCTCAGGCGGCCCCGGTGGCGGCGGCGGCGGCCTGTCCTCGCCGTCCAGATCTCGCAAGCTTACTCCGCGCCAAATCACCTCCGGCCGGGTCTCCCGATCCCCTTCACCGGTGAACCACCGCCGCATATCCCTGGAAGAAGGCGTGGAGCTTTCAAGAGAGCCGTGGCGACAGGGAAAAGTAGGACCGGGCTGGGAGTCCATCGAGGGAGGAGGCGGTAGTAGTATGGGTGGCGCGAGCAGTCGCAACGGTCGGGGAGGGGGCGCGGATGGGTCTGGTGGGGGGTACGAGGTGGTGGAACGCGAGGAGCCGTTGTTGCGCGAGGGGGGACCCGAGGAGCAGAACGATGAGAGGTGTGCGTGTGCAGAAGAAGATGTCAGTTGTGTGCGTGCTAACGGCCATGCCTACGTCGCGCTTGAGCCGTGCGCCCTCGTGTTCCGTGCGGTTGGACGTGGTTGTGTGACTCGTGTCTTGGATTGTGAGTGAAGCGGTTAGGAACAGGTTGTTGTGCGAGAAAAAGTCTTGGTCGGTGGACCCACACCACAAGCAACGTGCACAAACAGCCGTTTGAAAATACCAAAAACAAATGTTTTGTCGTGCTTCCAACCACCGTCTAGCACATCAATCCGCTCTCCCGACCACTTCCCTCTCACACCATTACCCCGCACGCCCCCCTGCTTCAACAACCACACGCGAAACACTCACCATGACAGCATGGCGGCCGGCCTGCTTTGGAGCGCAGGCGACAACCCCTCCTTACGGTTGGGGGGAGACTCCTCGTTAGGCCCCGCGTTCGGGCAGCACGGTAGGTCCGGCAGCGTACAGAACAACGGTGGCGAGGGACTCTCGGATCGGAACAGTTACAGGGGTAGGGGTGGCGGCGGCGGCGGCGGCGGGGGGGGGTGCTGCACCGTATCGGGGAGACCGCTGGTGTACCTCTGCGCGGCTTGCTCGTCGCTGTGCTCAATTCTGCTGGGCTACGACGTCGGGGTCATGTCGGGGGCTAAGGAGTTCATCCGGCCCGACTTGGGCCTCTCGACCGTGCAGAACGTGAGTTCTGGGGTGGGGAAGGGGGGGGAGGGGACCTTGCTTGGTTTACGCCCGAGATCGCTCTTGCTCTCGTACAGTAGCTCCTGGGGATGTCGTGCAGGAGTATGGGCAGGTATGGCGTCGATTTCTGCCCCCAGATCGTCCTCGTTCTTGGTAATGTCGGTCGTTGACGTACTCGGTTGTTTGCGTTACCTGCATCAGCCCTTCGACGTAGCATCCGATCAACAGCTTTTTTGCTTATTTGTTTCTTCTTTTTGGGGCCCAGGGGAACTGCACGGGGAGCCAGCCCCTCTTTCCTCTCACTGCTTTTCGCTTGAAGAAAACTGCGATATTTGTTAGTTTCGTTCACCCTATCAGACCTATTTCCTTCTCCCTCCGCACAGTTGTGTGCACGTCGGAGGCACAGGCTACAAATGCCTCTGGTTTAGAGATAACCCCGGCAGCTGGGCCACCGATGCAAGTTGTAGGGGAAAATTACTTGAAGCACACATTTGTGCACCCCCTTCCATGCATGACGGTACCCGCATGCACGGTCAAACATTCCCAAGAGGTGTCTAGCAGAAGGAGTGAGGCGCAGTTTGGCGGATGCTACATCCAGGCACGCACGCAATCACAAATGTCCGGGAAATTTCAAAATGAGTGGCACGAGGGCGCACAGGAGGTACATACGTACGTGTGACAGACAAGGCACCAGCAGTCGTTCCGCCACGACGGCAGGGGGTTACATCATAGTAGACAATATTGAGCCTCAATCCGAAACCGTTTTTATATCTCGATGTTGTTGTTGCTACCATCTGATTGCTGCATGTTTCATGAATAGTGTGCATCTCTCTCCAGAACGCTCCACCTTTTATAGCCGTGAGAAGACCAGGTGCTCAATGTAGTTGCCGTGGGGGTACCCCATGTAGATAGACCAAACAAAGAAGGACCGAGCCTCGGCCATATTGTGAGGTTCTTCATGTGCAATAATAGTAGATTCGCTGAAAGTTAGACTTTGGACAACCAAATAATATGCCCCCGTTGTCTGGATTGATGATTGGATAACACAATACTTGTACAGTAAGAGATCTTCTAACTCCACCTCGTACGAAAATAATGAATGAAATGAATAAAACCACATACGTAACATCCCTCCACACACCACCCACACCCCCATAGACTATCCGTCAACCCTCGAACCACTTTGCAGTGAAAGACTTAAAGCCCGAAGTGAGTAGCATCACGCCTTTGTACGCGCGTGAACGAAGAACGCAAACCACGGAATACTGACTGTATGTTTGATTATTAGGAGCTCGCAGTTCTCCTGAGAATGTTCCGTTCACCTACCGTTCCGTGCCTATACCATCTTTTCCCGACATTTTCGCACGCAGAAGTGATGAGGGCCACCAACGCCCCCCCTGTAAAACGCCGTTTCGGCGCGCGATTGCGCCTCCGCGACGAGCTTACTACGTCCGGCTCCTCTTCCTCCTCCTCCTCTTTGTCCCCTTCCTCCTTGTCTTCAACGATCAATGTTGGTCAATAATGTCGTAGTGAAATGATAAAATCCTCTGTCAGTCGTGACTACAAGGTATTCTAGTGGCCCATTGTGACAGGGAAAATGCCCCGATGTTGACAAAACTCAACAAGAAGCATCCCATCGATAGTCAAAACGATTCATTGTCAGTAGTGATGCATCACGTTTCGATGAATTTGTCCGAAAGTGAATATTCCCGTCTTGCGCCGGAACAGCCTGGCTGGGCTAGGCCTGCGCACCTGCGTGAGGGTGCGCTAATCACGCTCTCCCTCTCGTCGCCTATCAGTAATATGTAGTAGGTGTCGTACGCAGTACACAGCGTGCGGGCGCGGCGAGCGCACACAAGCGAGCGCGGGTAGCAACTCGCGCAGTTGTGCGTTTTCTGTGCGTGTTGCGGCACCGTGAAGCACGGCACCAAATAGTTCGACAATCACGGCCCTCTAGTTGCGCCGCACCGGCGGTATGTCAAGAATCACCGCTAAAGGCCCGGCAGGGGTTGTACTCGTGTAACCGCATGCCGTAGTAGTCAAAACTCGCATCCCTGTGGGCTCGCCCTCCCTCCCCGCTCACTGCTTCCTGCCTACCCTTCTTCCTGCCACTGCAGGAGGTAATGGTAGGGTCGCTCAACATCGTGGCGGCGTTCGGAGGTCTCGTCGCGGGGAAAGCGGCGGACCGTCTCGGGCGGAAGCCGACGACGGCTCTGGCGTGCGTCGTGTTCATCACCGGAGCTACCATGATGACCTTGAGCCACACGTTCTGGTTCCTGCTTCTTGGCAGGGTGGTGACGGGAATCGGGGTGGGATGCGCCATGGTGATCGCTCCTGTGTACATCACTGAGCTGGCCCCGCCTGACGTCCGCGGCATGCTGGTGTCGCTGACTGATATCTGCATCAACGTGGGGATCGTGTTTGGGTGAGAAGGGGGAGGGAGAGAGACAGGCAGACAGACAGACAGACAGACAGACGGACAAGGCACGAGATAGAGGGGGGGGGGGCGGAGAGAGAATGAGATTGAGAATCAGAGAGAGACAGAGAGACAGAGAGACAGAGAGACAGAGACAGCGACAGGGACAGGGACAGGGACAGGGACAAAAAACGAGGGCGAGAGTTGTGGCTAGGCATCCGGGACGTGGAAAAAAGCAAAGGGAGATAGAGCGCACCTCTTCGCACCCGGAGCGTACGTTCAGACCCAGGAATAGTTGCTTCACACCCGAGTTTGTTGCATGCATCGGACGGAGGCGTTGTTGTGCTTGGAGGAGGTTCGGGTGACCCGCAGCACCGTATCTACAGCAGCACATCTAGCGCTGCCCCTTCCGGAGTTATTGCTCGTTTCTCAAGAAGATATATACCTAGATATCCTCATATGTATATCTCAAACGAGCAGCTTATACACACCGTTCAGCGAGACGTTGAGCTCGTTGTTGCTACTGCTTTTGCTTGCTTGTTTACCAGAGAAGTTAGTTTTTTCATCGTCGCCCATTCACGTGTGTGAATGGGTTACCTCGGATCGGCGTCTTCTCTAACCCTTTTGCGTCTACGATGATTGTGGTGGTGGCGGTGTGTGCAACTCACCCCGCAGCTACGCTGCGAGCCTGCTGTGCTCGGACGTGTTCAACTCCGACTCCGCCAAGTGGCGCTCCATGATCGGCATCGGCATGCTGCCGCCCCTCCTCATCCTGGCGTGCCTCTCTCTCATGCCCGAGTCGCCCCGATGGCTCGTTGCCGCGGGAAGGAACGCGGACGCTCTGCACGTCCTCAAGAGGGTGAGCGAGCCTTTTGTTTTGAAATGTTGTTGCGGTTGTGGAGCTTGTGTTTTTTTTGGCGGGGTGAAATTGTTGTTGGGGGTTGTGGAAGGTTGTTTACGTGGAAATTACGTCCATCATGCCAGCGACCGCTGTTGTCTTCGTGCGCACCGCCGGTATCGATGTCGCTAAAATTTTTTTTTGGCATTCCTCGCCTTGTCGGGAGGGAAAACGAGAGGAGGTGTTTTCCTCCCTCTCGCCGCCCCCAAGAGAATCAAAGTCTGATGATGATGAAATGTTGTGGCGGCGGACGCGGTGGCGACGTTTTGGGTGTTGTGTGCACAGCTGCGGAAGGAGCGCCGTCGCCGTAACCGGTGAATTTAGGGATTCGTTTTTATATTTTTTCTGCGTGGCGGGCGTTGTTCTTGCGTGTCCGACCTTCTATCACGGTGTTGGAACACGTCGCACATCGACTCTGATTGGTGCGCAGCGAAGAGGAGGATTGATACTCGAGGTTTGGTGACCTTTGTCGCACCGCCATCGCTGATGGTCCTCTCACTCTCTCTTGCTTGTTTATATCATATAGATGGCCCGCGCGTTTGCGACACGTGTGGGTGGGGGTGTTTTTATATATTGTGTAAAGTTTCTGTCCATTTCGTGGCATGGTGTAACGGTTCTACATATGTACGAGTCCGTACAAAGTTGATCGAATTGGTGTGTTTTGATTTCGATGGACAAGTCGGCACATCCTGTCCCGATCGATGGGTGTTTTGTATGCAACATACCAGGTAATGGACGACGAAGACGATGCGGAGAGCACCCTGCAGACCATCTCGGACGCCACTACCACCACCGAGGGTAAGATAGACGGATCGAACATCGCCCCTGGCCGCCCCAAGCTAGCCCTTGCCCCGATCACGCCGTTCGGCCCCCCGGGTATCCAGCACATTTTTTAGAGCGGGGCCGGAATTGCTAGATGCGAAGAACGCGCTGTTTTTCAGCCCATTTGGGTTATAACATAGATTCGCATGGTACTGGACGTGGTACGGCAGTGAAGGATCGAGTTGTATTGTTTTTGTAACGTCGTCCAGTATTGTTATATGTACCCATCACACTGTTATGTGTGGGAAGTATTTTTTTTGGGGTTTTGTCCGGAGACCGTCTATTTTTGCTCTTCCTGGAAAACACTATACGGTCACACCGGACTCTTGCAATTGTATGCCCTTGGCCAAATTTTGGGGGACGGTGCTTGGCGTTAGTGGCGCGGGCGAAGGCGCCGGCGTGCGATCCATCTTGGATGATCGATTGCTCCCCGTTAACTACCAAAAGGGTGAGAAACGTGTGGGAGGAAAGCTCTCGAAGCCACCCTTATCGGCGTTCGAAGCCTTCTGGTTGTGGAGCAACCGAGGTTGTCGTTTGTCCATCGCACACACGTGCCTTCGCCCGAACCTTTGGCGATACTGAGGCGCAATCCGTCACCGCTGTCGACATGGGTTTGGACACAGGACGGTGGTAATGCTGTAGTATGGTCGTGTCGAGGATACTTTCGGCGAAGACACGGTAAGCACCAAAAACGCTACCGTCACGGCCTACCCCGTACCAATGCCATCGCAGTCACTTATGGTGATTCTGCGCTCAATAATGGAAGACAGGCCGTCGGCCGAAGCAGTCGCAAGGCGACAATCAATTGTTGCTGAACCCACTTGATCCACGGTGAATTTGGAGGTCACATGTTCTTTTAGGGCGAAACTGTGTTCGCATCTCCCGCCCCGCACTGCCTAAATCGCCGAAGATTTATTTTTGGTGTTTTATGCGTGTCTGGACTATTTTTCCGGCGGTCCGTTCGCTGCGCTCCACTCCCGTTAATCGTGGCCCGCCCTGGTCCTGCTGCGCCGTCGATCCAGCTACGTGGAGGGACGTTCTGGCGCCTAGCGACCGGACGGTGAAGGCGGCCATGGTCCTGGGGATCGGCCTAGGATTCTGGCAACAAGCCAGCGGGAGTGAGGTGCGGCAGCAGTCGTCTAACCCCAGGCCTGTTGCATCGTGATTCCCAGCTGACTAGCCGCCGTTGCACAGAGTCGGCGACTTGCCTTTTTATTGCTCGGGGGTTGGAAAATCGGATTTTCTTTTCTTGAAACTATTATGAGAAGACGACCGTATTTTGTGTTGTTGGATTGACCGCAGCTCGTGGCACATTGGTGGCTACAGTATGCCCTCTCCGACGATATCAACACCTGGAAAGCATCCGAAGACGCGCGTGTTACTTGTACTTGCGCTACAAGTACCATTTTTGGGAAAAAAGGATCATGTGTCTATCTACGACCGCTGACGTGGGTTGGCGCCATTACGCTTTGCTGCCTCTTCGTCAGCTCACTTTCTTTGGTTTCACGTTTCCCGCTCGGCCGCCTCTCGCCCTTCTACATGAAACCCGCTCGGCGGGTTCTGAACCCGTATCTGCTACCCTCGGACACTACCGCACACGTCGGTCTGCGTGCATCGGGCTGCTGGTTCCTCGTTTGGATTCCACTTGGAACGTTGTTTGATGGGCCAGGCGGCGGTCTACTATACGCCGGAAGTGCTCAAGGATAAGGGGTGAGTGAGGACCCGGTCTCCATGATGGAAAACATACGCATGGAATATTTGCAGCTTGAGACGGCGTTTGTGGTGTCTGCGGCGGGAGCATGAGCTCGCGAGCGATCGATGCCGACGCGAAACTTGGTGAAATGTGTCGCATCACATCACCGAGGCACGGAACAAACGACCCCCCCCCATCGACAGCAGCACACGAGTAATACAGCGCTTGCATCAATGCCTCCCCGCACTGTTGCGGTCGTGACAAATTGTTTGTCCGGTAGTGTCGAAGCTGTTGCGTGTCTTGGAACCCTCCATGCCCTGCACCCGCTGACGACGCTTGCTGTCGGTCCACAGACACCCATACGTAAAGCTAAGGCATGCAAAACACGAGTCCGCCTCCCCCCAGTCCCTCATGCCCATCTCGTCCGCGTCGTGGGAACAACTCAACGGCGTTGATGAATGATGGGTGTGGTGCAGATGGGCCAACCGGGCGATCTTAAGGGGAAACATGGGCGTGGGCGGTTTCAAGCTGCTCGGAGAGGTCGTAGCCTTCATGCTGCTCGACAGGTGCGTTTTTGGTTTGGGAAGTATTGTGCCGTGTGCTCTTGTTTTTGTCCTCCTAAGTTGTGCATACGATGTTGTGCATACGATGTTGTGCGTCATGTACATCAGTTTTCATCTTCGTAAGCACCTGTTGTCGTTGTCGTTGTCGTTTCTTTTGTTCGTACGTTCCTGTCGTGCTCTTTGAGCGATCTTGTGTGATGTCACACGATACGCCGTCGGGTGTCTGCGCGACGCCCGGCTAGCGTGACCCGACAGGATTAGCACAACACGTGTGCAGCTTTACTTCACGCGTGATCACTACCACAAGGTGACCCTCCCACTACCGGAACCAGCGTTCGCGTTTGCGGAGTCTGAGGGGAAAATATCAACGAAGAGGAGGTCGTGCATGCGTGGAACCTCCCATGAAGTATCGCAAACATGTCCCACTGTCCCGTACCCATCCCCTTCCCTCATGCGTGCCGCCGGAACCCCTTTCCGCCACACATATACAGAATCGGAAGACGTCCGCTCTTTCTCGTTAGCAGCGTGCTGGTGACGCTCTGCCTGCTGATGGTCGGCTTCGCATTCCTTCTCAACTGGACGAGCATGCTTACCCTGTTCTGGCTGTGCATGTTCATGTTTACCTTTTCGCTTGGGCTGGGGCCCGTGACGTTCGTGGTGGCCTCCGAGGTGTGTTTGTGCGTTATTTGCACATCGCTTTGTACAGATTTCGAAATTGTTCCTTTCGTTGAGGTTCGCTGGGCTCTTGGAGTCAAAGACACGTCAGCCGTGTGACCTGTTCGAGCTTGGGAAACGTTGCTGATGGCAGGGCAGGTGGCAAGTTGATTCACACGAACACCACGTTACTTTCATCTTGCATCACGCCTTGATGACACTACTTTGCTCAGATGAGCCCACTCCGGAGGCGCGCCTGTGTGTGTACGTGTGTACATGTATGCGCACGTGTGTTTCTTTGATAAGCATCGACCGCGCTAACCGGCTGACCAATGAAAAGACGTCAGTATCAGCGGGTAAATCAAGGGAAGGGAGCCAAACTTCGAAAAGCGCGTGAGCCGCTGAATGCTAATGCCAATATGAATGCTGCATTTTTGTGTATGTATGTGTTAAATGTGTGTGTGCCCTTTGTCAGCGTTGACCGCGAATCGGCGGACCTAGCCCTAATTGAGCGGAACAAGCGCGCAATCTATCATAGGGTTCTACTGAAAGTTGGGACGCAGGAGATAGACGAGGATGTCCCACGCATGTGTGTGTGTTTTTTTTGTAGTTTCGAGAGCACGCTAACGAGCTTACCAACGAGAAAGGGGCACCGTATCATTGCGGATAACAATGAAACACGCTTCTCCCGACCGTGATCGGGGGCCCCGTGCGGGTGTGTGCGTGACATGTATGGGGTGGTCCGCGCTTTGTGCGAAAAAGTCGCGCCGATTGTAGAGTTATGCTAGTGGATTGCCGAGTTCGTGATAAGAACTGAGAAGACTGCATGCGTCCCGCGCGGAACGCGGCGCCGAAATCTGTGCGGAAAGCATTGCGTTAGAGCTCTGGTCGAGTCGAATGCGTGTGTTTTGTGTTTGCGAGAGAGGGAGCCTGTACGGTTGAGGGTATCGTTTGTGCCGGTGATACTCCAGTTCCTTTTTTCTTCTTCGCCGTTTCTGACTGGCCTTGAGTTTTTTTTGGCTTCGTGACCGCTCCCCCCCATCTTGTTTTCAGACACAATGACCCCCCCATCCTGTTGTTGCCTCTGGAACGCGATGATCATGTGCCTGTGTGTGGTGACAGATTTTCCCGGTGGCCATCAGGGGCAAGGCGATGTCGGTCGTGATCTTTGTTAACCGCATGATGAGCGGGGTGATCGCTCTGTCGTACCAGAGCATGTCAGAGGCCATGACGCCGGAGGGATCCTTCTACTTCTTCGCGGCGCTGTCTGCCATCTCCGTCGCCTTCTACTATTTCTGGGTGAGTGTTGTGGTATACCATAGGTGACGTACGATAACACCACCCCTAACCCGATTTTCAAAGCTCGAGTGCTACGCGACAAAATCAGGTGTAAACAAGATGATACATTTCGGAAAGCTCTGGACGAGTCGATTGCGACGTCGCCATTTTCGACGCCATCATTTTTTTGTTGCTGTGGAGTAAACTAGCTTTGAAAACTTGGTCCAGGGGGTGTGATATTTCATGTCACCTACGGTAGCAACACCTGCTGCGTACAACTTTGGGTTAGTTATTCCGCCATTTGCGTGCTGTTGTTTCTTTTCCCTGGCAAAGGGCGTGGCAGAAGGGTAAACTAGTGCCTCGACAGTACATCTAAATAGTGGCTACGGCTGTGGCGTTGGAGAAGTAAGTTTGATTCTTGCAAATTTGGCGCAGTCGCACGCACAGTGTTTTCTCTCCACGTTGTATCCACACAAATATGGAGAATTAAGCGAGGTGCTGATGCGAAACAATTGTCAGCTGTACCGTGCACCGGGGGCAAAGAAGAGCTGCATGCTTCTCTCGATAAAAATGGTGGCAAGCGCTGTAGAAGGAAACCGGATAAAAGGTGGAACCTCCTGTGTGATGGAGACTTGTGTGTCCGCAAGCGTAGGTTTTCCGACGTCCAGAACACCGAGACATGGAGGATAACACACAGACGCGCGTTTAGACAAGAAAAGGATATGTTTAATGTTTGTGTCGCGGGGGCACATTCATCCTGCGGCGCCCCCGAGCTATAGACCCTCTCCTACAAGACCTACTTTGTTCGGACTTGACACCAGCCCACAGTGCTAAGAACATGCGCACTCCCGTTTGAATTGATTCCGTTCTAGCGTCTGAGTTCCTTGTTAACTTTTGTTTGTTTTTTTCCAAGAAACTATGAAAGCTTACTGACGAGTAAACAAATTGCTTGCGATGGTACTCCGCGTTCACCATGTGCCACGAGGGTATACGATTGCCCCAGTCACGGTTCGGTCCGTAATCGTTGATGGGTTTCTCGGCGCTGTAGGGGGGTTTTCGGTCTCTTTGTGTTGCCGTTTTTTCTGGACGTGCTGGTGTGGTTGAACGATTTGTCTCCGCTCCTTCCGTCCGTGCACTATCGCATCCGTCATCATGAAAGCCCCAATACGTTCAAGAGTCCCAGGTATTCACCACACTGGTTGAACCGCGTAGCCAACGAACGCCGTCATATGTACCCCCCACCGAGTCCGTGCTCGTCCATCACCGCTTTTGTGATGGCTATCTAGATTGCACGGTGTAGACTTGCTACCATTGTGAAAGGAAACAGCGAACGACACAAACAACGGCAGCAACGACATCACCGTGTTCCCCCCGGCCGCGCGCGCGGTTTTCCCCAGGTGCCCGAAACACGTGGGAGGACTCTGGAAGAAATCACCGCCGACCTGGGGTCATCACTGCCCCCCACCGTACCTGGGCCTAGAGCTGGCCCAGCGAACGGAGGGCCTCGACACGTGCCATTGGCTCGAGACGACGAAGAGGAAGTCTACTGAGGCCACGTTGGCGAGGACTGAGAAGGCCCTTTTGTGAGACGCGGCGGTGTTTCCAGAACAACCACGGAGGCGTTCTGCTGGGGGCGGAACGAGCAGAAGCGTCCGCCATATGCGGTGCTGGGAGGAGACAGCGAGCAGGCCAAACCTTTGCTACATTTTTGTGTTGTCTTACCTGCGTGGCCACTGTTGTTTTCGCGGAAAAAGGCAGCATCCTACCCGTCTTGTACACACTTGATTTCTTGGTTTTCTTTTCTTGTTTCTACCGACGTGGGTGCGTTTCGTGCAGGCGTTCCTGCGAATTTTGTCCTGTGGGTCGTGTTGTCTGCAGTCAACGATCGGGCGCACAGCTGTGGTTTTGTTTTTGCTTTACCATGTGTTGTTGGCGGTGTAGTCTAAGATACTTGTGCCGCGCAGACCTCTTTCGACTGCGCGATGGCTGGTGCGAGAGCGCTAGAATTAGCGAGATGGACCGAGGTGGCATGCATGCCTATCAGCAAGTCGGTTGGTGTCACAACTTATTGAGGTTCACGCATACCTTGCTAGGATAAAATAGCCGACCGAGAGGACACGTGTCATTGAGGTCTTCTGTAGAGTATATTAGGGGATGGCGTTGAATTGACTCGTTAGTCCGCGCGCTTAGCATGTTGTGTAACAGTTCGCCGAATATATGCGATTCGTTTCGTACAGCAGCGAGTTTCAGCCGTGATGGATAGACGGATGTCGTGGTGTGTGTTTTATTATGCGATTGGAGGAGGAACGGGTACGTGGCGTTTCTGTGATTGTTTATTTTGCGAACGGACATAGGAAAGCAATGCTACGAAAGGGCGGCCACGCTTTTTGGGCATTGGTTACGTCTTATTCTTCGGCCTAAAAAAACTCGTGCCGAAAACTGCCCGTATAACTCGTAAACCGCAGTATAGTCATTATGCTCCACCTCCTCCTCCTCTTCATCTAGACAACGCAAGAAAAACATGCACTTACCCGCCGTAGTTTCCCGCTAGACAACAAGCACAACACACAACACAATCTCAACGAGAAGGGCGGCTGCAGCAGCAGCCGCAGTAGAAGGAGAACATGGCGGGTGTCGAGTTTGAGCTTCTTCTTGGGATAATAATGTCTCTCGGACGAAAAAACTCAACCTGGCTGGTCACTGTTCTCACAGCAGTTCGTTGTCAAAACGCAACCAACGTAGAGCTGCCTGCCGCGGCTCTGTGTGCTTGAATTTCTCGGAGGTTCGCAGCGTGGGCTGAGATTGGCTCGGAGACCCGGTCAGGGTATAGACTATGCGAATACAAATGACACAGATAAACAGACAGAAACCGACTTTGGTCGACGAGACGACGAGACCGAGCTCTGCCGAGCTTGGGAACTGCAGCTACGCAGTTGTTGTGTGACACGTGTGGCAAGCACGACGCAATAAATGCAGGCCGACAGCAGCGGCGCGGTAAGCAAAACCTGAACCGATCGCGGGCAACCGCGTCCTGTGAGAACGGACGGAAGTAGACTAGTAGACCCTCAGGCCCTCAGAGGTTTCTTCGATCTGCTCGTCAGCTCCCGGCTGTGCACCTACCTCCTCAAGGTGCAGCAAAGCCGCATGATGACCGCACTGTCGATCTCTCAGCGAGCAGCTGGTATATGCTTGGACCCACGCAACAACACAACCCGCTATCTATGTAGGAGCACATGGCGCATGAATATATTCCCACGGTGCAGGTGTAGGCTCGGCTTCTGCTCTGTTTTGGATAGCTAGCCTGGATGTGGTGCGGGGGATACAGATGTTCGGAGTATCCATTCAAGGTGTGGTCGTTGTCTGCTCGCCATATAATAAAAACACACACAGAAAGACTAACCATTCGAGATATTGTTGTTGTTGTTGTTGTTGTCTTCACATTAAAAACCGTTCCGATCTCTCTCTGCCCAGTACCTTCGTATGTCCGTACTGATCCAACACTCGACGCGGTCGATTCCCGTGGTCACAGATATACCCACAGTCGAACGGGATGTGGTGGAGTCTTTTCAGTGAGTGGAGGGAAACCGGCTGGGTACTGGACTTATTTCGAGTCTTTTTAAGACTATACACTGATGATTTATACCAGTGATGCCAGCTGGTGGTGCTAAGTACAAAAACATCTGTATAGGTAACTTACATTTTACAATACGTCTCCTGTAGTAGTTCTCTACTGGGTCAATGACAAAATATCGGGGAGAATCCCTCCGTTGTGTCGTGTATTGTAAAATGTAACCTTCACAGGGGACACGGCGCAGTGTCTATTGACAGCTTGCTGGTTTATTAGACATACTAGGAATAATACTGCAAAAATCATGGAAGGTGGAACAAGTTGGGTGGAACGAAGTCTACAACAGCAGTACATCACCAGCCCTACATCACTCGTTTTTCAAATAAATCTACAGATTTTTGAATTTCATGGACAGCAGGTGTTTCCCGCCGTTTTATTGAATTTACAAATCGTTTTTGATCCTTTGGGGTAACGTATCAGTGATGTTTATACAGCAGTAGATGAGAATGGTATACCTGGTGCATGGTAGGTAGGGCATACCATTCAGGTTGTATCATGTTAGCTTGTTTCTTGTTATGTTGGGTGTTGGTAAACACCATCAGTAGAGCATGGAAAGTTTTCAAATGATTTACATCCAATGTGGTGGTTGTTGTCAACTTGGCTGGTGTTGTTCCTCAAAGCGGTTTGTCGAGACATCTTGTCGCAACCATGTCGTAATCACGTCGTAGACCATCCGTCATGAAGGTCAGCAGCAGCAGCGAGTAGCAGTTGGTCTCTCCGCGTGGAGCAGTGGTGTGGACATGTTACCGAGTGGCGAAGGATACAACGCGTAGAAATTACCCACCTGGATGTACAGCCACATTGCAAATTTATATGCATATCTGTGGCCACGTGGCCACAACTTGTGGCAAATTCGAGTTTACAATACCGAACCGTTCGTTATGAGCCAATTTGTCTGAGCAAACAGTTGTCAGGGCTGTTACAGACCATAATATTACTGACTGTCGGAGGAAATGCTTCCCGGACCTGGTCGTTACGCGACCAGAGGGACCAGAGGTCGCGGACTCGAATGGAGGCAACTTCACACATCTGGCCGCTACCCAAGATTTTGTGTCTTGAAACGAGCAAGTCGAGGTTGGGAGGTAGGAAGGGAGAGAGAGCATGGCAAACATAAAAAGCGTGAACCCACCGAGAGCGGGGCTGGCTGTGGCTGCATTTCCGCATTCCGATACGAAAAAACAGCCGCCGCTGCCGCTTGCTGTACGGGATTGGTCCGCCCCCAACTCACGTACCTACCTACACTCAGGCGAGAACCCAAGAGTTCGTAACGGTCCTCCTCTCGGATTCCTTCCAGGCCTGCAAGAGACAGCTATAACTGTTGTCTTCATTTACCACATTGGAGCCCACGTTGCCGTCTCTCTCACTCCCTCCACAGGGTACCAACAACGTACAAGCAAGAGGAACGGCTCCACCGGAACTGACTTTTACAGCTGGAGCGACGCGCTGCGTCTGCTCCTCCTGATCAACGACCGCCCCCGCAGGACACGGCACAGCGAACCTCTCAGGTGCGTAGAAACCATGGTTTATATTCAGCCCACCCCAGCACGCACAAATCAACCGGCTGGCGCAGCCAAAAACTGTGGTCTTCCTTGTTTTTCCTCGGTTCGTTCGTGCATGATCCACGACAATAACAACACCGTTCCGCGCTCGCCCACCAGGAGCCGTGCCTGGATCCGGTATATGTACTGAGTGAGGGTACAATATGGATGAGAGTATCAATATCGGTCATCACCGCCTCGACTCGCTACAGCAGTGGGACAGCAGTACTGAAGTACACACAGGTCTACGTAGTATGTAGGTTTGTACAGGATGAGCGAGGAAAATCAGGTTTGTTTTACATACTACGTTGCTTGTTCGCCAGAGGGTGTTGTCCAAGGAAGGTATATTTGTCCGGACGTACTGAGTGAGGGTACAACATGGATGAGAGTATCAATATCGATCATCACCGCCTCGACTCGCTACAGCAGTGGGACAGCAGCACTGAAGTACACACAGGTCTACGTAGTATGTAGGTTTGTACAGGATGAGCGAGGAAAATAAGGTTTGTTTTGCATACTACGTTCCTTCTTCGCCAGAGGGTGTTGTCCAAGGTATATTTGTCCGGACGACTGCACTCTGTACATACATCGCAAGATCGTACCGCAATAGGTCATCCCGAGGTACTCCTGAAGGGTTACCCTCTTATGTCGAGACCGAAGGGTGGGGTTCGGGCACTACTGTTGTTTGTTGCCCCGCAAGTGTCTCGTTTCTTGTGTGGGGCCTCCAAGTGTCTTGGTTTTAGTGTGGAACTCCCAAGTGTCTTGATTTGAGTGTGGGGGGTCACTATTATACTGGTTTTAGTATGGGGGGCGCGTTTGGCTGATGAGTATAGGAGGGGGGTTATCTTTGGGGTGGGGATAAATCTTGAGTTTGTGGGGGCGGGACAGGCGCTTAGCCCCACCCACCCCCTACCTGGAAAAGGGCAAAATATGGCCGTTTTCAGGCCAACTCAATGTTTTCCGGCCGTTCAGTCGCATGGTTTAGGCACCAACTGAAAAAAAAGAAAAAAAAATTCTTGCTAAAAAAACGCCGGAGAATTCAACGAAAAAATCGGAAAACAGATCGGACACCGTTAAGGGGGCGCAAAAACATAACGGCACATACTTATGATACAGAGGAAGTATACTCTGTAGGGTCCTGTCACCACACCGACCGACCGGAAGGTGAAGCTGAAGAGGTGGCAGAGGCACACAACCGACTTCAATGTGGCCTGCTGACTTTGGAAAAAAAAACAGACAACCCACACGAGACCGGTAAGACCAGTTGGAAGGCACAGTACAGGCAAAAACAGAAATCGTGATTCTCGCACATCTCTACCTCCGCAGGACTCCCTTGAAATCAAGATAAAATTTCACACTAGTCAAAATCAAGTGAAAATGCCTGAAACCGCAAGCGCTCAAATGAGGTCGGTTTCGGACTACTGCTGTACAATACTGCAGAGGTGTTTTGCATTCAGAATGATATCACTACATAGAGCACACACGCGGTCGGGAGATACCGCTGTCGTGAGATCGTAGTATCTCATGACCTTGCCAGTTTGGGCAGCTGCCAAATGAGACTGAATCCTAATGCCTCGGTTTGGACACCGGGGCCATGCAGCAGTAGCGAGCGGGGTGAGGGTGGCGAAGTCACCGCCAGCCGAAAGCCGTCAGGAGCATGCACAAGAGAGAATAAAAGAAGAGCAGTGGTCAATATCGGGTACACCCGGTCCAACCACGGCCATCATCGGGTACCCCTACACGACGCACCTGGGAACGACCGCATGACTTCATCTGATTGGCCGACGCCCATCCCTACACCCGACCTTGACCGTCTTTCCACCGGGTGCACCCAATCTTGGCTACTCACCCCCCGGAAAGGGTACTCGAGTTTTCTTTCCACTACCCGAAAATGGCTGGGCTGTTCGGCCAATACCCATGCACAAGATCACGGGTCGGACGCACACCGCTGGCCGCTCGTTTGTCGCAAATGAGAAGCGACGGAGGCAAAGAATATGTCGTTTTTTGATGAGTCTCGTGTGTGTCGCATCTCGTGAGTGAGGTATGTATCCAGCTCTTCTCGACCATTTCCGCCGCCCACCTGCCGTTTCCCGCAAGCGAGAGTTCCACCGCCGGCGGTGGGTCTGCTTCCGCCCGCCGTCGGAACGTCCGACTCCGAGGGCAGGGCATTTGACGTTTGCTTGTGCATGGGTTTTGGCGAACAGCCCAGCCATTTTCGGGTAGGGGAAAGAAAATTCGGGTACCCCTCCAGAGGGTGAGTAGCCAAGATCGGGTGCACCCGGTGCAAAGGCGGTCAAGGTCGGGTAGGGGCGGGCGTCGGCCAATCAGATGGTGCCATGCGCTCGCTCCCAGCAGCATCTTGTAGGGGTACCCGATTATGACCGTGGTTGGACCGGTTGTACGCCCGATTTTGGCCACTGCTCATAAAACAAGTCCAGAGCTGGAGGGCCACACCGCTCCGGAACTAAACGACAAGTCTCTGATACAAAAGGCAACCACCCGGGAACTATTACGTTAGCCCGAGTCCGCAAGACAATACTTCTAAAAGGAAGGTGAAGACGGGGGAAAAGGAGGGGACGGGCGAAGCGAAGGCTGGCAAGGGAGCAACACGCCCCCCGAAAGAGACAGCAGATTCGACTTCCTAGGGTAGCAACCTGGAATGTGTGAACTCTGGCTGTGAAAGCAATGAGTACGGGCCGGCCTACAGTGTCTTGTGGGAGGCAACAAAACAAAACGTATCGGTGATAGAACTGCAGGAGACACGGAGCCGAGGTAGATTCGCAGGGGCGGGTTTCCGAGTATTCGGCTGTGGTATGGAGAAGGGTGGATCCCACGGGGTGGGGATGGCCATTAAAGAGTCCATGTGCAAGACCTACAGTATACGCTCACTAAGAAGTATATCGATGAATGCCTTATGGCAGCTTGAGGTGACAGGTCACTGCGGAGCGGTCAACTTCGTTGCTGCTGACGCCCCATCCGAGCTCTTCATGGTGTTCTCTACTAACGGTAGTATGCGTATGATCTCAACGGCGTTAAGGTTGCGTTCTTGTATTTCAATTTTTTAAAATAGAGCCAGCGTCAGGAGGGGTTGTCTACCACCCCCTAAGTTCGTCTTATATGAGAAATTGGTCCATCAGTATGTAACGCGAAACACCCACCGAGATTTATACCAGGTATTCACAACGGGTGACTTCACCAGCCCAGTGGGAGGCGATCGATGCCTAGTATGATTCCTCTAAACAATCTTGCTGCTGTGAACTTGACCAGGGGTGTTCACGGAACGGTTTTTCTCGGCGGAGCGGAGCGGTTGTAACCGCTCCGTGACATTTCCCAATGAAAAAGAATAAAACAACACTTCGCTCCGTCCTGTGACGTGTGCAAAATAACTCGATCCGCTCCGAAAGAATTATGTCCTCGGTAAAATAACGGCTGCGCTCCGTCCGTGAGGTTTCCAAAATATCCGTACAAGGGTTTTTGCGGAGAAAGAAGAATGAGCTACTCTGTCACATCATCCACTCGTGAAACCACTAAATCTACGGTTAAAACTGTAATACCGCCTTGGTGTTGCCACGGAGCCACGGCTTTCGCACGGCGCGAGTCTTTCATACAATATCGTGCGTGAACCTGTGCGCCCCCCAATACTACGTATGTGACCTTTGCATTGGCAGTGCAATAATAGTTGCCATTCAGGGAGAGGGATTTTTCATGACTGGGGTTCGTGTACAAGCTCATTTGGAAGAAAATGGCGCCTGATGACCTTAACGAGATGGTTGTGTTGTTCTTCACGTCGAAGCCCGATCTTCCTCCGGAGACCAAAACAGTTCGACCATACGTCATAGGGGTTGGGGGAAGCGGACTATGGCGCAGTCTTTTAGGCAGGCTAGAGCTGAATCTGTCCGTGCTGCTCGTGCGGGAGAGCAATATGCAAACGGGAGCACCTGGCGTACTTGACTCTAGTGGTTCTAGCAGGATAGGACGCAAAGGGGTTATGTCCTGCTGTTTTGTGCGTGTTGCAGGAACGAACATGTCGAGGAGGCATCGATATGGGCAATGGTTACTTGATTGGTCCAGCAATCTGACAGATCGACAGCTCTTTCGTTCGTTTGGGCTGTTCCGGCCGCGAGAACGCGTACGGCGTAGCCGACGGCCTCCATGCACAGCACGCCGCGCAGCAAAATAGATTTTCGATTTCTCAAACCCAACGCACTTTACGAAGTTGCAGGTACTATGTCAGTTTGCCAGATATCCGGATGAGTGGAACTTTCGTCTGACGGGGCACCGTCGTCAAGGACACGGTATTGCGCGTCATGCTACAAAGGAGACTAAACCGCTCCGTAAAAAAACGTGCTAAACGTACGGATTAACCGCACCGCTCCGCTCCATGACGTTTGCAAATGACAACAACCGCCCCGCCCCGCTCCGTGAACACCCCTGTCTACAATTATGCACGCAGGGTAACGCGACGCAGCGTCTTGGATCATGAGTGCTGCTAGCAAGAAAGCGGGAAGCTTGCCTGCATTGACAAATGCTGGGATGCGAAGGGCCTGCTTGGAATGTGTGCGAAAGAAAAAGAAGTGCGATGGCCTGACTCCTTGCAGGTGTGTGATGTATCGACATGGACGTTGGCCATGATGTTGCTACTTAAGTCATGATGCTCCTTTTTGTCTGTACGGGATTGAATGCAGTCAACCCTGATCGTCTCTGAAGGGTAAACAACCGAAAAGAGCGCTTGCCAATCAATAGCACAGATACACGCGGCTCGTGCTGAAAACGTCGGTGATCTTCAACGAGAGCTCGGGTCAATAACATCGATTTCGGAACCCGGAGTGATGTTTTCCCGTCACCATCACCACGCTGATGCACTTCGCGTCGCGCACCTGACACACTTCTTACACCAGCTATTGCAAGGTATCCCACCTACCTGAATCCCACCGGACGCACCGGTGTAGACAATCGACGGCCCGGACCTACAAAAATCGTGCACCAGTGAAAGTAAGACCGTTACCCCCCCCACGTGGACGTTGTGTAGCCGTTGCCCAGAAACTGGGGTTCGATGCACCTACAGCAAGCGGAAGTGGCACCAGCGTCAGCCTGGGCACGAGCGTCAGCCTCAGCACCATCCACGTGGTCAGGTTGCCATGCAGTCGACAGACTCATTATCCGGCGCATTCCTGGCGTGCGGCATGCTTCCTTTGAAAAGGTCAGTCGTCATTAACAATAGAAATGCAAACGGTCATCTTCAGCTGGTATCACACAAACTGTGTCTGCAACATCGCATCCGAGCTTCATAGTAGCAACGTTCAGAGAATACCGGCGCAGGAAAGAGAAGAACGACACCGTGTTGAAATATATTTCTGCCCATCGCCGTTGGCGTTTACCGCACGTGCGCGAGCTTCACCGTCGACCAACACGTCCAAACACATTATTTGTGTGTGGTACATCGAACCCGCAGGTATGAGCTAAAGGAGGACTAAGGGTTCTCCGAAGAGACCTCAAGGCTTTCCGTGTCATATCGGGCGAGAGTTTTGCGCATGATCTTACCGCGTCTAAAGACATGCTCTCCTATCTGAACCAGGTTCAGATGGAGCGCATCTCCGGCGACTGGTCTTGTGGGCACGCTTGAGAACGCATTCCTCAGCGACTTCTTCGGCTGCGTTGGGCTGCTGCCCCTCACCACCCCAAGGTGCAGATCTAGCTTTGATGGGATACACTGATGCGCACACCACCGCCGGGGGTACCCGTATTGTCCCTTATGTCGCTAACGATTTTTCCGGGAGGGGCGGAGACTCGTCCGAGCGATCATAACTCGTAAACAGTCAATCGTACAACAAAAGATTCCTTTGCGATTCGCTGTTGCCGCCAGTGACATTCGTGGAGTGATGGTGAAGATGATGACCCTCTCCACTGTCCAACAGCAGCTGGGCGCTCTGCACGACTCCCCCGATCAAGGCCAATTCGGCCCCAACTTCACCGAGGACGGCATCACCACGAGAAATCAGCTCTTGACGGGCCCCTCCTGTTGCACATTTTGGTGTGCAGTCGGTGTTGGGGCTGTTGTGAAGGGAAGCCCTCTTGAATCGGTGGGAACATGCCGCATTTGTTTTTGTCTACCCTTTACGAGTAGAAGCGCCGTTGTTTCCCCGTCGCGTTGTGACTCTGATCCTTGCTTGGTACCACCGCAGATTGTTGTGTGCAGCTGCCGACCACCACAATTTTCGCTACTACCGATGGCGCTAGTCAACACACCGCCCGCGAATTGCAACACCTCCAAAAATGTGTCCCAAAGGTTGCGAACTACTCCCGACTGGCGAGAGATGCACTGGACGCCTACATAGGCCCTGTGAATGCCGAGGTGGCAAAGTGAGTCACGCGGACAAATTGTGTGCTTCACGGGGGCAACCTATACCGGGACCCATGCGTATTTTTGTGGTATGTATCGGGTGGCACGTGTCTGTCGGAGGGAGGTGTTGTTTCTTACAATTTTTGCTGTTTGACCATGTACATCTTTGGACAAACACGTTCCGAGCAATCTATGTTCCTGGCGAGGCAATCAAACGTTCAAAGCTAACGCCACACAAGATTCCACACGCCTTGCACCGCGCTCGTAACGGTCGATTTGTCCTCTTCAGTGAGGTGGACAACACGGCCAGATTCGTGCCACCGTTTGGATAGTAACGCTCTCGCTACTTTGACAAACTCCAGCGTTTAAACTCAGTCCAAGAAATGTAGAATCTTGTGTGACATACAGTGGTCCTCCCCGTTCGACCCCTTACACCAGAACCCGTCGCCTCTCCCCGCGTCAGAGCGTGGGCGATCCTGGGATACTTCCACGGTTCCATGGGAGACATGGTGAGGTCAACTTCTGTGGGACGTGCGGCACCCTTGGTAGTTATGCCCGCGTCGTCCACAGGAGGAGCATGCCTTCTTGCCCGTCGAAAGAGCCGATGGCGTAGCCACCTCATGATTCCCATAGTCGACGACGCTTATAATATGTTGGAAATGGTGTCCTCCCACTGGACGCTATGATGTGACCCACCCACGTATTTTTGTTGGCGCCATACACGTTGTGCTCCGGTGCTTTAGGCGAATTATGAGGAGTACCTGAAGCTTTCAGGCTCCTTCTTGATTGATTCCATGCAGCAAGGGTCAACTGACATGCTGCCAGCGGTGAGTGTGACGCCATTGCATTTCGTTGGACTGTAGCAAAGCCTAGAGGTTGAGGTCGACGAAAGTGTGGCTGTTTACAACAGGAAGATTGCTGCACGGACAGCAGTGGACTGGCAGCCCGGCCGGCTTCCCAAAAAGGAGATTCAGATTGTTGCCGTCCTACGCCTATGAGCAACTTTCCCTTATGAGCTAGGCCACCGACGTAAACATCGTGTTGGATGTGTGCAAGGCCATCACGGGAGAGATCATCCTGGCAGCTCGTCTCAGAAACTACCGTAGTATTCACAGAGTGCGTTGATGCGCTTGGTAGCCGCAGCATCGCATTGCTCAGACGTTGGTATTCCGATCACGGTACTACAGTAGCGTCTTGCTCCTCTTACTTCATGCCACTCGGCCGTCCGACGTTGGTACCATGTTGTTCGTCGACGAATGACGCAGCGATGAGGTCCGGTGTAGTCTGACCGATCACTCCCGGAGTACGGCCTTGAAGTGAAGTGGGGCAGGCATGTTTTTGTGCCATTTACTTCAGATAATGCTACACTGTTGTGGTTTAGTGTTGCGGTCGTACGCATCTGCTGAACTCTCGTACGCATGCATGTACCTTGGCCAGGGATTCGCAGAGATCGTCAGTCAGAAGGACACTGTCCAGGTGTACTCTGGACATCTAGACGCTGCGGGTATCGAGTCGTTGGGCACCCTTCGTCAAGATGCTCCGCAGGTGTGTCCTGTACCTCGTAGCTGAGGCTAATTGGCTTACGGTGTCTTCGTAAAGTTGCGCACAGAGTGCTTGTGGCTGCAACAGCGATGTGGGATGCCGCTACTCAATTCTCGCAACATTCCTTGTCCGCCACGGCAATAAGGTGTGTCAGGTTGGGCAGTCGGCAACAGACATGATCATGGTACTCTTAGGTGAACATGTGCGCTCGCCCACACCAGCAAAGACATTGAGCAACAGAACATTGAAAAAAGAATTAAGATGTCGTCATCCCACATTGAGCGATAATTCCTTCGATTTTCAGGAGTTTTTTCTGCACTGACCTGTAGTTCGACGTTAAGGAGTTCTTTTTTCTCAAAGTTTCGGCGAACTTGAAGGGCTTCTAAGTTTGCATGATCGAATTCTTCGTGAACCAGGGTTGGGAGGGTGCTGAAGACGACGTACGGGGAAAAACGGGCAGAAAAATGTTGATGTGAAAACAACAAGAGCAGCAACAAGATACCGAAGCAGCAATGGTTGCTGCCGGTACCCTTGGCGTTTCGTGCGACTTCGTGGGAACCTCAAGGCGGCAGGGAGTCGAGAGTTTATGATAGTGTTGTACTATGTATGTGCAAGCAACGAGATCTGCACCTTCACCCTCTTCCGCTGCTACTTGTCACCCAGATCAAGCCAGCTGCATGCGAAGGAGACTTATATCGGTATGTTGCCCAGTCGCATGCGGCGTTCGAGCAAGTTGTCTTCGAGAGAGCTTGTCAGAACAGTGCGACGCGCAGACATCCGAAAGAAGACGAGCCTTGCGAAGACAACGGAGGCGGTGCTATTCCACACGGGAGCGCCCCCCAAGCGGAAGAGGTGTCTGATACTATGGTGGCTGCCCTAAAAAATGGCCTCATGGACTTCGAACACCTACAAGAAACAGCCGATCGGTGAGCAAATTGCAACCCTGCTTGACGGGTAGTTTTCAAAGGCCATGCGACATCGAAATATCCATAATTCCATAGAACCTTTGTTTCTGCACCTCCTCTGTTGGTCGACCCCTGTTTCCGCACTTTTTGGTATCAGCGCAGGGTTCTAACATCCTTTCACGCACCCCTCGTTCCCTTTCTCCTCGTGGCCGACCTTCACCGACATGGCGAGCAGACCAAACATTCGCACGGGCGTCGGCGGTCTCCTCATCAACATGTAAGCCTGACAACATGGTCCTGACTGCTAGAAACCGCAATATTTTTCTGTGTTGTTTCCGTACGATGGCTCACGTTGGTTTGACCTACGAGCAATACAACCTGTGTTTACTGCCATACGGACAACTCTGGGTAGTACAGAATTTGTATTACTGTTATATACAGCGACGACTCGCTCCACATCTACAATGCCACGTGCCGCGTGTGACAGAACCCTGGCATTTCAAAAAGCAGTAAATGGGGATGCGGCTGGAGCGCTAAAGAGGTTCGGGCACTGCATCGAGGTATTCGAGCGGTACCCTGGCTTGTGCCGGTACAGGATATTATGGTGAGCCAAATCGATTGAATTAATATCACCGTAGCTGACATTGATAGCCTCGATGGCTGCGATCCGTGATCGTGGCGAGCTGTGGGACAAGCTGCGCCATGAGTCTAAAGGACGAGAAGATGTAGTGCCAGTTTTGTTGCTCAGTATCATGTGTGTGGCTTCTCCTACGGAGGAGCTCGGCCACTATTAATAGTTCTGGCATTCGTGGTAAAGGCGTGTCAACGGTGTGTACGGAGACCGTGTGTGGTACGACCTTGGCATTTTCATCTTGTGCTACTGCCGCCCACCTTACCTCCCACCATGTAAGGTGTCACCTTGCACACGGAATCCTCGGGTCCCTAGCAGCGATTGACGACTCCAGAGCTCGGGGACTGTATTCTCGGTTGCGAGAGGTCTACAATCCGTCCCGGCTGTCTTCCTCTCTGCCAGCGCCACCTTTGGAGGAGTGGCGTGGGATATCTGCATTCTGCGATCATTTCCTATGCAGGTGCGTGCGGGGAATGATTCCCGGCTATGACACATGCACTGGGGGTTGTCCAACCTGTTGTCAACACCAAGGCAAGCTACTGTGCGGGAAAGCCGTGTCTGTCGAATTTCTCAAGAACAAAGCTGACAAACTGTCTAGTCTACAGGCACAACCCTAATCGTTGGCCTTGTTTCGGCGTGAATGATTGCCTCTTCGTCATCGCAAAACCGAAAAGCCTTTGTTATTGAAGTGCTCTTTTCCTTCAATGGCACGGATTTCCGAGGACTCCTACAGCTTCACAGCGTGACTTTCTCTTTATTTTATTTTCTAAATATGAATGATCGATTGAGATGGCAAATCGCTCGGTCGGGAGGGTCGTTTTGATTCGTTCTTGTCGGGACAGCCCGTACGAATTTCAATAGAAATCGGTAACCGCGCATCGTTGATAAGTGAACGAATTTATTGTGAACCTCGTGTTCAGATGTGAAATCTCAAGAGATGTACTACATACAAAGTGGTTGTTGCAACAACGTTTGAAGTCTTTCGTTTGAAGGAATCAACCCCAGTCTTTTCAACCTATCCCAGAGGGAGGTACAAACGAAAACGATAGATGAACACGGGAAGAGATCCCTGCATTTCCCCATGAGACCATGAAAGAAAAGACACGCAGAGTAGGGCAAGTGACCCCGTCCAAAAAAGCGAACGGAACACAGTCCATCGGTCCACTCGAGAGCTGGACCACTAATGATTGTAGCAGCGTCTCTTTCCGCGTGGTTGTGCTTTCGCTCAAAAGCGGCGAATATGACTCGACGGTTAGCCGACAACTTTGTTGGTGTGGCACTCCGTGTCCAAACCAACCCGTTCCACTACTGTGGACATAGGATTCAACCCTCGCCCCTGCTGCCTCCCTCTGGTTCGTCAATGCATTATTTGCAGGATATTCGAGGGTGTTATCGCGAGACAAGCATTGAGTGTTTTCTCCACCCAGCCCCTCTGCGCTCGCAGCGGCGCAGGCTCACAAGGCACGGAAGATAATCTGCAGACTGTTGAATACGAGCACCGTAGCAGCATCGGGTCGGCGGGTGTCACTCCCGAGGATGCTACCGGCTCGATCATGGTTGCCTCTTGCAGCAACGCAAACAAACCAATGGCATGTACTAGCTCGTGGGAATCGCACCAAGAGCCTGCGTCGCAAATGAGTCTGCCGGTCGGACCGAGCGTGTTTCCTTTGAATGTCCACTCCGAACCGGTCAAGGGAGGCACAAGTGATGATACTGACGTGTTGAGTGGTGCGATCGAGGGATGTGGCAGTGGTGGTGTAATTGCTGGCTCGGTGCCCCACGTGCCCGATATGCCCTTGACATCGCCGGGGTTGAGAGAGGTGGACGGGACCACAACCGGGGATGATGTTCTTACCGCATCAGACTGGCTGGATATTTCTCAGGCCATGATGGATGCAGGTGAAGACAAAGATGCGGCGCTTCGATGTTGACGATTTTCATTTTCTTGTATCAACCTCTTGATGCGGGTCGTATGCATAGTTCTTGGATCTCCTAAGGAGTACGTGTGAGCTGCTGTCTCGCATGTTGGTAGAACAATACACTGGATAATGGTCGAGCTACGGCGGATTTGTCCCCAGTTGCCGGAAGAGTCAGTGACACTCACGCAGCCACGGCAAGGGTAGTACACAGAGGCACGAGAACGCCGCCCGTCTCTACATACTCAAGTTTCACATGCATGCACACATTTCCTCATCAGGTGCCCTCTCGTAGTGTATTTTCATTCTATATGGTCACGTTGTTTTTTGTCGTTTTTGTCCGGCGTCGATCATCTCACGGTTCTGTTTTTGCTTTTTGGCCTACAGCCAGCAGATAAGAAATGTCAAAATCGGGTCGAGGCTCAGCCTCTCGTGTTCGTCGCCGCTGTCGACCGCAGGTTATTTTATGGAGTGTAAAGTAGCGCAGGGGCACCGCTGAGATGTATTTGCTGGACGTAATTTCTTATTTTCGTGAAATGTTGATCGACTGTTTCTTACGAAGAACTGTACTGGTATTTCTAGACTGCGGGCCCGTACATACTGGATGCTGCATTTGAAGAAGTTTCGTCATCATTTTATGGTTTTGTTATAGAAAATAGCGGCGTACCCTTCTTTGGGTAGTTGTCTCGTGGCCAAGGAAGGCGTTCGGGTCAGTTGGACCAGAACGGGTATCGGAAAGTACTTGACGGAGACCGGAAAGGAGACAACAACAACAACGAGAACTACAACGGACTCGTAGAATGAACAGTAGGTAGCATCGTGGGCGGTCCCCGATGGCTGTGCCCCCCTACACCTGAGAATCTGTGGCAATGAATGCACTTGAGGGATATTTCCACCAGAAGAGTCCACGACACGGTGGGGCGCGTGGGGATACTTTCTGGGGTATAGCAGCACTGAGTACGTTGCTGTTCCTGCCGCGTCTGACTTGGTTTCTGCGGCGCTTCTCTCACTCCCGCGTGTGGGGGGAGTTCGCCTGGTCGGCGGGGAAAAGGTGGACGCGTCCTGGCGGTGAGAGGCTAACTACAGTGCTGACTTCTCCGCCTCTGGTAAATACATCGCTTGCGACTTAGTCCGACTCCGGGTAATTGACTCATCCACGAACCATGGGATTTTTTGTCTGCGGGCCTCAATTCTTTTAGTTTTGGACCACCCGTTGAACAGACCAGATTCTTCCAACCTGGCCTCTCCACCCCTACTATTTCTACGTCTATTTTTGGATATGTAGCCGGCCACATCCGAGAAGGGTTTCCGTCTGCATCATCTCAAAAAAATCTTCGGGAATCTCATATGTAACCTTGGGCGCCGCAGAAGGGGCGAACTCAGAACAACACCGGAGAAAAGACGAATGAACGTCCCGCACAGCCCCCCAGATGGTACATCCATCCTTAGTGAAGTACTGCCGAACCTATGGGAGAGTTCCCAACGTATCACAGATCAGGTGTTACAACTCCACGTAGAGCAAACATGACTCCGATATTTTTCTCTCGTGATCGTGATCATTTGGTCATTGGTCATGACCGTATGACTTATTTAGCCACAATCGTCATGACTTGGTCACGAAATTGAGTCATGGCCTCGGTCATTGTCAAGGTCATGATACGTTCGTGGCCATGACTCGGCCATGACCTGGTTAGGTCATGACTGGTTCATGACCGGACCATGACTCCGTCATGACTCTGCCATGACCGTTTATTGGTTCATCATGACCAGGCTATGATCAGGACATGGCCAGGTCATGGCCGAGTCATGACCCATATCGACGGTGCTACGACCTGGACGTTCCTACGTCAGGAGCTGGGTCACAATCGTCAATGACATGAACTACAGATCCCGATGCAACGTTTCATGATACAGCAGCATGACCCGGTCCAGACCGAGATACCATCACCGGGTCGTATGTCCGTCTTGAATACGTGACCAACGAACTACCATGGTATTTGCTACATGTTGATGTGCCACTTCCATCGAAGTCAACTTTCACGGAAGGCTCATTGAAATCTCATGGAAGCTATTTAGAACCCAGGTGTAGGGCAGCTTCCATCGAAGCATTCAGCCTCGGGTTAGCTTCCATGATCTTTTCGCGGTTAGCGATAGGGAAAAGGGTAGGGTTAGCGTAGGAAAGCCGGGTACACCACATATCCAGACGCTTCCGTGGAAGTTGCTTTCATGGAAATTTCGGTGCTCCCACGGAAGTCGGTTTCGAGCTCTGTCACCCACTTCCGTGGAAGTTCCTTTCATGGAAGTTTTCGTGCTGCCATGCGAATAGCAGAGACTCTGTCGAGCGACGAGCTTCCATGTAAGTACTACTCGTCGTGCTTCCGTGGTCCAAAATGCGACTTCCGTGGAAGCAACGAGCGGTTGATATCGGGTGGTTCCATTGAAGCGGAACATCTTCCATGGAAGCAGTGAACCCCTTCCATGGCATGGAAGCAGTGAACCGTTTCCATGGAAGTCAATTTCGACTTCCATGTAATCTTACTCCATTTGTCAAATAGTGTGGGTTACCCCGGTACGGTGGGCGCGCGTGAGGATACCATGTAAGGTATATCCTACTATGACAGCATGAATAGAATGCTGTTCCTGCCTCGTCTGATATGGTTTCTACGGCGTTTCTCGCACTCCCGGGTGTCGGGGGAGTTCGCCTGGTCGGTGGTAAAAAAAGTATGGACGCTTCCAGGCGGTGAGAGACTAACTTCTTCTTCCCTGGTAAATACATCGCGTTCGGCGAAGTCCGACTCTGGGGAATCGATTCATCCACACTTGAACCATGGGGTTTTTGTCGGCGGACCTCGACTCTACTAATTTTGGGCTCACCCTATGAACAGAACGGATTTCCAACGGGGCCTCATTTTCACTGCTACTTCTATATGTTTTATTGGCCAGCCAGCCACAGGTTCCGTCTGGATCATCACTCAAACTTTCTTCATAAATCTCGCATCTCACCTTGGCGGCCGCAGAAGGGGCGAGCTTAGAACAACACAGCAGGAAGAACGCCGAAGATCCAGCGCAGTTCCTCAAGATGTTACACATCCATCCTTGGCGAATAACGATGGGCCCTTGGAATGAAGTACGGCCGAACCTATCGCAAAGCTTCTGACGAATCACAGATCAACTGTTGTGACTCTACATAGCAAACATGGCTGGCTATATTATTTTTCTTTCGCGATCGTGATCGTGATCGTTTGATCTTTGGTCAGGACCGTACGACTTTTCAGATTTACGTATGATCGGGTCATGACCCGATCATCAACCAGTCATGAGTAATGACTTGATCACGGAATTGGGCCATGACCTCGGTGATTGTCGAGGCCATGCCACCTTCATGACCACAACTGAGTCATGACTCGGTCACGACTGGATCATGAATGGTTAGGTCATGACTGGTTCATGACCATGACTCTGTGATGATTCGTCCTTAACCAGGACATGGCCAGATCATGACCGAGTCATGACCCGTATCGACGGATTGGTCAACAACTCTAACTATAGGACCTCTGTCACGCCCTCCATGAATTTTCATGGCCTGATCGTTACAGCGACCTGACCAGATCAAGACCGAGATACCACCACCGGGTCATATGTCCGTCTTGATTGCGGCAGAGTTATGACTCTGTAATCGCATTGAATATTTACGTCTCACGGAGTCAGCCCGGTCATGGCCTGGAAATGACTTTGTCATGGTGTGGTCTTCTCTGCCGGTGATCGGTCACGACTTGAACGGACTCGGAAAAGGCGAGGTGATTATTCCTCATGCCCAGGAACTTGTATCACGACGTCTCAACAGGTCGCTCTTCATGAGGTGAACCTGTCTTCCTCATGACTAAGGTTGTGGTGATGATGTTGGTGCTAGTCGTGACGGTTGAGGGTGGTTTTGTTGCCTTTGTGCCGTTACAGAAAAAACGTCCAGATTCCTGCTCAGTTCCGCACTTTTCTAACATCCATACTGGTCCAACTTATGCGGGCGCCTTCCTCAAGCGGCCAGGTTTTGTAGATGACATGTCGGAAAAGCGATAGGAAAAGAAGAGAGCCCGCCACCCCCCTGAATGTAGCCAATTAATCCTTCCGTGCCTCCATACACAACTATAGGTTTCAGCCAATATAGGAGCGCGCGTGACTCGTTGCATCATATCACCAACTCCCAAATCCTAAATCTCCGCCGGGGTGCTGCCGCTCACTGCTGTTTCTCGCGTTGTCTCCGTCACCCTTTCCCTCCCATACATACCAGCCTCATCGCATAGGCAAAGACAACGTGCTCCGTGAGGCGACTAACCCGCGACGCATCAAAACGTTACCGTCCCCCCCAGTACAAATTTTATCCAAGTAGACGGGCGCCAACCACCCATCGAGCGTGATTCGTGTACACCGCCGTCGAATAGGAACAATGGTCAACCGTGCCTGGAATGCCCCGGAGCTGTTCAGACTGTGGGAGGAAAACATGAGTATTGATGGTGGACGATCTTGCGCAAGATCGACGGGTAAGTGCCGTCATCGGTCGGGGACACATCATGCTTCAATCTTGAGGAGTGCCAGCCGTTGATGCAAGAACCGAGGAGGTGTATTCCTTGTAGGTAAGCAACAGCGCGTGGTCGTGCCCGTTGAATCGATACACGTTCTGACACTGCAAAAAAACCATTTGAAGCAGGGTGTATCGGGGACAGAGACTACAAGAACCTCAATATTGTCCGACATTGCCGCACCAACAACCAACCACAGAGACCGCTGGAAAGAGGAGGACCATGCTCTGAGGAACGCCCCTACGGCAACGGAGGGCCGGTTGGTGGGCATGACCGTGTGCGGTGTTATCTTGGCGTCCCGCTTCTTGCCAAACAAGACGTGGAAGGTTGTTCTACTTTGTCCCACAGGGGAAAAGAGAGTCCGCTTTCAAATCCGCAATCTGCACCATCAGGGGCTGGCACAAGCAATCCGAATACATCCGCAACGTCAAATCTTCGGACTCTCATCACAAACTGCTTCCAGAATGGCATGAGTACTATCCAATCAGTCCACCGCGGCAATAAATATCATCCTCGATCTCCTCTGGGGCCCCATGTACCTCTCTCGATGCGAGCGGTGTCGGAGATACACCGGGAACTTGGGCTATCAAGTCAGAAAATTCACGACCACCACCACCACCCCATTGCTGTGGAAAACGTCAGTATCACTTGTTCCTCCCATGACCGATTCAAGGCCATTGTAATGTGTAGTAGACAAGCTCGATCCTACAGCTGCGGCGCAGGCTCCTGGTTCGACTCCCACGAGCTAGTAGATGCCACTGGCTTGTCGTGGTTGCTGCAACGGGTAACCATGATCGAGCCGGCCGCGTCCTCGGGAGTGACAACCGGCGGCACGATGTTGCTACGTTGTTCCTCAACGACAACCTTGCAGATTCACTTCCGGACGATGCGCCCGGCGTGAGCCGATGCAGCTGCTTTCCTAGTGCTTTTGGGCGTGGCGGAGAACACGCTGAAGGCTTGACTCGCGATGACACAATCATATAACCTGCAAAGACCGTGTTGACGGACCAGTTGGAGGCAGCACGGGTGAGGGTTTGAATATTTTTCCAACACTTGTTGTTGTTGTCTTCGCACATTAAAAACCGTTCCGATCTCTCTCTACCCAGTACCTTCATACGTACTGATCCAACACTTGACGCGGTCGATTCCCCTGGTCACAGGCTAACTTACCCTAAAAAGGTACACTCAAATAAACTGGCCCCGAGGGGTCCGCAAGTCAATAGGAATCAACGACAGATATTCTGGAGTCCTCCTCTCCCTCTGCGCGCTATGCGAGGTACCAACTGAGACTAGGAGTCAGCATCACGGGCCAGAGAGAGGTACACCCCCTTGGTTCAATCTTGGTGCTTCACACGCAAGCAGAGACAAGGCCATCTGACACAGAAAGAGAGAGAAAAAAGAGCGACAAAGAGAAAAAAGAGGAAAAAATAAACAAAATAGAAGGAAACAGGAAGGAAAGAGAAAGAAAACGAAAAAGAGCGAGGACAAGAAGGGACCAGGTCGAAATAACAAGAAATAACAGACAGAAAAAGGCACACGGTGGAGAGACCACTGACGAACAGGCAAACACGCCAACATGGCCACCAACCAGCGATACATGGTAATGGTACGTCATCACTAGTGGGGGGTTGGTGCAGTGGTGCAGCGTTGGGGGGGTGGAATCGGCTAAAAGAAATTCAACCCGGCACGTATCACGCCACTCGGTCCGTCTCTTCTCGTTTGCTTTCTTCCCTCGCCGTCTCGTCCGTCTCCTGCCCCCCTCCCGCCCCATTGGTTGTTGGCTTGTGGTCTCGTTTGAGCGCTCGTTGTCGGCTGGCCTCTTCTTCCTTCTTGTGACAGGAGATCATGAACCTCTCAGCTCCCTGCAGCACCGCCGCATGCCAGGGTACTCCCCCTCCACCTTGGCGGCTTCCGTCCACTTGAACTTACGTGCCGTGTCTTTCGGTACCGGGATTCCGAGACAACATGGATCGGTTTTCGTAGATCCGTGGTCGGCCCCGAATGCCTTCAGGCCTTCGAGCACACACTTCGGCCAGTTCTGTTCCTGTCCCCCCCTACGTCGCTTCTCCCCCCCCCGCCAGTTCGCCGAGCATCCGTCGTTTCGGGAGTCGCCCGTCCGGCTGCCTTGCCAATGTTCCCGCGCACAGTAGGCGTCGTTGTCGGATCGTGGCTTCAACGCTCTGGCATCCGACCCTCTTCAGCGTCTGGGCGTAAGAACGCTGCCGGTAGGTGTCTTTCTTGCGCTTGTACCCGATAACTCGAACGAGCAGTCGGTGGTGTATCGACCGCAGCGTCTGGTAGTGGCCGCTGAGTGGTGACCTGTCATGCAGCCGTACAGCAGTGCCTCCATCGCCTCCGCCTGGAGCAGGTGGATCTTGAGTCGGTATGGCGCTTCGGTCTGTCGAAGAGTTCCGGGCCATATCGCCTGAGGCACGCCAACGCTCCTCTGCTCCTGTAGTTGATCTCCCGGGGGAGGTCGCGATGTTCGTTGACGAGGCCACCGAGGTACCGAAACTCGGTCGTCTGGGCGTCTTTCTGTCCCGCGGCTTCGATGGTCAGAGGTGGAGGCGGAGGGGGGTTGTGGTGTTGTAGTCGGCTTGTCCTTCGCGCGCATCAGGAGTGTCTCCGCCTTCTTCTCTGATACCGCCAGCCCGAACTCCCCGAACACCTCAACGATGATGGTCATCATTCTCGCTAGTCCTTCTGCAGACCTCGATACGACGCCGGCATCATCGGCATATAGCATCCCCTATACTGCCTTCCGTACTCGGTCAAGGGGTGTCTCCTCCGCCCCCCCCGCTTCCGTCTTCCCCTCCTCCAAGCACACCAGGTTTCGCAGAACAACATCATCCTCGCTGAATCGGATAACGACGACCTCGAGGACCTCGGCGAAGAAGATGTTGAACAGCAGTGGGGATAGCACACATCCTTGTCGCACGCCCTGTGCGACGAAGAACCAGTCCGATAGTTCTCCGTCGTCCATGCGCACCCGGGCCCGCATTCCATCGTGGAATTGGCGGATGACTTTGATTAGCTTCGCAGGAATCCCGGCCCTGGCCAGCACCTTCTATAGCATCTCTCGGTTCACCGAATCATACGCCTTCTTCAAGTCGACGAAGCACATGTAGAGCGGTATTTTCTTTCTCCGCCCCAGCTCCTGGAGGCGGCGCACGACGAGCAGCATGTCGACGGTGGATCACCCGGGTCGAAATCCGCACTGTTCCTCCCGGAGGATGTTGTTGGCTTCGCAGAAGGCGCTTAGACGGTTGGTGATGATCTTGATGGGGACCTTGCCTACGTGAGATATTAGCAAAATCCCCCTGTAGCTGTTACAGTTGGACCGGTCACCCTTCTTGTACAACACCTTGATGGTTGCATCCTTCCACTCTTGCGGGATATCTCCTCCGTTCCACACCTTGACGAGGATGGTTAAGAGGTGTCCCAGGACAAAGGGTTCGTCGTCATCGATCTTGAGCAACTCGGCAGGGAGGGAGTCATAGCCGGGTGCCTTCCAGTTCTTGAGGCCTTTCGTTGCCCGTTTCACCTCCTCGAGTTCTGGCACCTCTCCCAACCGTTGAGTGTAACTTGTCGCTGGCCGCTGCGTCACTCGTTCGATGATGCCTGGGTTCAGGGTAGGGGATCTGGTGTTGAGCAGGGTGCTGAAGAATCTCGCCCACCGCTGGAGGGTGTCGTCTCTGTTCCGGAGCGACACGCCGTTCTCATCCGTGACGAACTGCTGTTCCCCCGCTTGTCTCCCGCTGAAGCCCACTTATCTCTTGAGGTGTTGGTACAGTCCTCTCATGTCGCGTTCTTTGTAGATTGCTTCAAGTTCAGTCACACATCCGTCCAGATGGGCATAAATGCCCGTTTCGACTGCTGTAGCCACTCCCTTACACGCTGCTTTCAGAACCCTCCACGTTCCTGAGTTCCAATTGCCCCTCATCGCTCGGCGCGCTTCCCGCCGTTTGGTAAGGGCCTCCTCCAGCACTGCTCTCGTCTCTGGGGTCTCACACCACTCCTGCGTGCGGCGTCTCCGCGGTTCCTCCCCTAGGGTCGTCCGTGCTGCTTCGAGGAGAGCATTGGTAGAGCCGGTCGCCAATTCCGCGGCGGTGGTTGTTTGCTCGTCCAGTCGTGTGTCGAGGTTGAGGAGGAACTGATGAGTCTCCGCACACCGTGCTGCTTCGAACTGCAGTTCCCGTCGGTTGAATTGCTTCTGTTTCGGTTTAGTCCGGACTGCACGGGTGTGGGCAAGCCTGCTACCGAGGTTGACGGTGGCTACTACCATATTCTCGGGAGCTCTGAAACTAACTCGCAGCCTCCGTATCACCCCAAGGACTAAGCACATTGACGTGAAGTTTCACCACGTAAGGTCGCTGGTAGCTGACGGAGTCTTAGACGTGAAGCAAATATCGACGTCGCTCCAGAAAGCGGATGTTTTACGAAAGGGCTAAACCCGTCGGCGTTTCTCCGCGCCCGTGGCATGCTGTTAGGAGTTTAATCACCTCCCCTCTTCGTAATCAGACTTTTATGTCTTGAGGGTTGGATGGTGTATGTGTGTGTATAAGTTAGAAGAAAATTCGGGAGATTTTAAGCAAAATAAATCGCTGCTGATGCAACGCAGCTGAGAGAGGCAAAACAATTGATATTGAGTCAAAAGTTCTTTAGATAGATTTGTTTCGAGAGGACATGGATATTGTTTCGAGACGACATTGAGAGAGAATTGGATCTGATGCATTGGTACTAGAACCGGGTAGTTCTTGAGAGGACATGTCGGAGTAATTGTGGTACAAGAACGACTCTATTCTACTGCATGGGTTTATGCAGTACCGTGAAGGCGTTGCCAAGTCTGTAACCGTCAGGTGAAGACAGCTTGGGCGTCTGTGTGTACTATGAGATCTCTCTGTGTGTTTGCCTACTAACCTCGCATCACATGCGAGCTACTTTGTAGCTACAGCTGAAGGAATAGCTGTACAGCGACTGCAGCGACAGTGCTGCTGCCTCGACAACACTGAAACAGGTTGGATATGACATGGAGTGCCACATCAGAATATACTTGCCCAGCGCCCGAGCAAATATGCCGCCGCGACATGGGCGAAAACGTACCCGCCGGAAAGGAAACTCCGAAAACTGATGGTTGGTGGCTCCGGTCCCGTGTAGACCGATGGTCGCTGCATCGTTTATGTTTGTTCTACTTTCCAAACCACTGTTCTGCTGGTAGTCTCTACTTGCCTTCTCTCGAATTGCAGAATCCCTACGCGTTCCTTCAGTATGTCTTGAGTTTGTTCGTCACTTTGTGAAAAGCCTTCGAGGAGGAGCAAGGACGCACTGAACAGCAGCCGGAAATATTGTGTAGGCACCTCCAACGACAATGTTTGCACTACATACCTCTTAGGTGTTCAAATCAAACACAAGGTTCATGGTCGATTCGTTCATCTAGCAACCTGCGTGTTTTTTTTCGTTTGTACCTCTCCATCGCTTCGATGCACATCGGCATGTTGCCAAACAGGTTTGTCCTTTGGCGGTTAACCAAGCCTACGAAAGAACCTATCAAGATTCATTTTGCCCACGAGAAAAATCAACTATGAGATTGACTAACGGAATGGTTTGCCGATCGAAACCTAAAGTGCGGATTGTTCTCCGGACAGAACGAACCGATCGACCCTCCTGATGTAGTTCCCGGACCCCCCTTTGTCGATTTCGCATAATTTGCTGAGCTGAAAAAGAAACGTCTCCACCCGGGGAATACATAAATAACCTTGTCCGCGGAACCCTTGCCGTTCATGAATACCGAAAGAGGCGACCC